GCTTTTTTAACCTGAGTAAAAGCATTTCGACCTGATGCGTTGAGTTCTATAGACTTGTTATTCCCTCGAAGAAGTTCTGTCAATGGCTGAATCAGAGAGGCACAGTTGGGAATAAAGCATCGATAATAACTTACCAAGCCGTTTGAAAGTGCGGAGACTTTTCACCATCTGTGGCTCTGGAAAGTTCAGTATAGCCTGGACTTTAGTAGCCAGTGTGCTAATGCCCTTGCAGTCAATAGTGTGACCTAGAAATGCGGGTGAGTCAACGAATTTTTGACACTTTTGGATATTAATCGTAACAAGATAATGTACCTACAATCCTTGATGTCAAATGATAAGCATCATAACACCGACATAATCACATTACAAGAAACCTTGTCAATGGAGTTGAAGATTGAACGATCAATTCTTGGTTGTTTGCTGAAAATCAACTTCCCCAATTTTCGCGGAGGCATCAATACGACAGTCATCGTCTCATCGGTCGCTGTTCAGAAAGAAGAGTGAAACATCGTCAGAAGTAATACAATGATTTATTATTGTAATATTTGTTTTCAGACCTTAGTTCACTTATTCTTTTTATATGTTGGTGTAACAATAAAGATATATCAATCGGCAGATCGGTGTTTTGGTTTTTTCGTCCGTTATAACTAAGCGTTTCTGAAATCTTCAAGGAACAGCGTGGGCCCGAGCGTAGCGAGAGCTGGGCATTAACGGTTTATGAGACGTGATTGACAGTTTCTGACGATGGAAACAGATCTGGCGGATTCAAACAGTTGGTGAAAGTTTGGATAGTCGCCGTTCATTTTTCCTGGTGCCGGTCAAGTCCTCTTTGAACAAGCAATATCTGGAACGTTTTCGGAATTGGGTCAAGTTCAACAATGCCTGGGTCAAAGAAGGGACAGAGTGTCTTGGATGCAAACAGGAAAGTAAGTCATGGTGACTTGTCTGTTAATTGTAACGATGTGTCTGATGTTAAGCATGACATGGTTGATGTTACTGTTTCGCCGTTCAGGGATAATAGGAACATCAAACTCCCTAAATTTGAACCACGGTGTTTTGATGGAAACCCGGCTGATTATTTACAATTTGTAAAGGAGTTTGAGATCATGTTGAGTGGTATTTTATTAAATGATGAATTGAAGTTAATGTATTTGATGAGATATTGCACTGGAGATGCTTCAAGAGCTATACAGTGCTGTAAGTTTATGAAGCCAAAAGAGGGCTACTACGAGGCTATGAGCATATTACGTCAAAGGTTTGGAAGACCTTCGATGATTGCAGGGAAATTATTCGAGGCTGTTAAGGGTAATGGTGGTCAATTACAGGATGACTCCCAGGCACTCACTGAGTTTTTAGATAATTTGCTAATTTACAAGAATGGAATGATTTCGATGAATCGCATGAGTGACCTCAACTCGAGTTTTATACTAGAAGTAATAGCAAGACGTCTACCTACTCGACTGCAAAGGAAGTGGGTGAAGATAAGCTCCCGTATGGAGGATGAGGGTATCGAGCCAAAGTTTGATGATATCCTGAAACTGGTAAAAGATAGCGTCAATCAATCTATGAGCAAGTTTTCCAGTCTATTAGATCTCACCCCTAGAATAGAGCAGTCTGAGGGTAAAACGCATTCATTGATGACGAATAGGCCTCAGAGAGGTGGATATCGAGAAGGCTCCATGATGTCTAGTAATGCATATAAACTTAGTGAGTGCAACAGGTTTCGTAGTACATCCTCAACAGATAAGTTACAAGATGCAAGACAAACACGGTTGTGTTTCACACGTTTGCAAGAAGTGCATACAGAAGTGAACTGTGAACCAGTGAGCAAGTTCAGTGATAAGCTAAATGTAAACTCCAGGTCTGACTCCGAATTGTGTGACGATAACGGTGAGGTCAGGAAGTCTGTAGTTGCAACTGGTAAGCCATTGTTGAATAGAGTGTCACAGAATAGAGTTACTGCTTCAGAGTGCAGTTCTGACCCTACAAGTTTACAAAGTATAACTAGTCAGAGTGAAGATACAAAACCTTTAATGATTTTTGAGGAGGAACCAAAATTGTCTACTTCTGTTATTAAAGAGTTTGAAAATGATGAAGTTGACGGTAAAGTGAATATTTGTGGTAATGATCATGATAGTGCAGATTTCTCTTTGGTTGATCATGATGAGATGAGGGATATGCCTACTACTGCTAAGTTGAACAAAGGTTCTGTACAACTTGAACGTGAAGTAGAAATAAATGCAGATGCAGTTGCAGAAGGCACGCATACTTGTGAGACCGTCAGTGTGATTGATCAGCATGTAGCCCACCTATCATCAGATGATAGTGCTAAACCCGAACTAGTAGTGAAAGACAGCAGTGGTGGTAATCTTGCAGTTAGACAAATATCTGAAAGCCGAAAAAGAACAGCTTCTGATCCACCGCTAAGTTCATCAACTGATATCAATCAGTCGTCGTTGGTGCTGTCATCCACAATGAAACAGACACCCATCAACTCAAGTATCTTGTGCAATGACTATGAAAGTATCAGTTCGTTTGAAAGGACGAATATCAATGGTCAGTTTAGTGAGGATAAGCCAAGTGTAAACGAGAGAGTAATTGTTAAATTGACTTGCACGAATAAAGGCATTTCTAGTTTCAAGTTACTATTTGAATGTTATTATCTTTGGTGTAAATTACTCTGTTTCTACACTTGGTTGATGAGATATGCCGTGTGTTTGTTCGTCATCTATATTCTACGATACAATGACATGGGCGTGTTGCCGTTCAGATTTGAGGATTTAGCTCATAGAAGGAAGTTAGCAAATGAACTCTGCGACGATTTTCCAACCTAGGGCGTCAACCTGAGAAGGGTTGTAGGCGTACTGGTGTAAGTCCTACAATTCTTCAAAGGGTAGCGCATCAATGAGCAGTCCAATGTGCTCGGTGTGTGATTTTGTACATATGTTCATATTGCATATACTGAATTGATATCATCTGTCATCTAGCTGTTGGTAATTCTGTTTGTGTCCGGACGACTTCCACTTGGATCATCAACCTGAGAAGGAATGTAGGCGTACTGCTGTAAGTCCTACAGTTCTTCAAGGGTAGTTTGTCATGCCTGAATCCACAACATTTGATGTAGTGATTGTACATATGTTTGTGTTAAATAGTTGTGTGAGTTCCAATTATCGCAATTGTTGGTTAATCTTGTTTGTGTCCGGACATTCCACAAATTACAATCGTCAACCTGAGAAGGGTTGTAGGCGTACTGGTGTAAGTCCTGCGATTCTTCAAAGGAATTCCATCAAGATGTGATCCGCGAGTTTTTGTGTACAGTTTGTATATATGTGTGGTGTCATATCAATTGGTGGTTTTTGGATTCATTGTGTTTACTTGTTGTTTCCGTACCTTGTTGTTATTGCGTAATTTTGTTAAAATTTTCGTCGTGATTATTTCTGAAGTTGTTTCGAGTCTTCTACATCCATGAATGAATTGATTGATGTTAAGGACAGCAGATGGGTCGTATAAGCCGGGGAGGCTATTGCTGAGAATGAAGTGCACACGGAGATAATTGTTAGCTGCGGTCCGACACGCCGGGGAGAAACAGTGTAAACGACTGAGGCTCGCATGCGTCACCGCTACTAGAACTGAGGCAGAATGAGTGACAAGCGATTGCAGTGGTAATTGGTAGTGAGTAGATAAGAGGATGTGCGTGGAGTATCGTGAGGTGCTTCCATGGTCACTTTGCATTCTGCAAGAGTCATTCTAGTAAGTGGCGATTGTGTTGCAAGATGTCAAGAGGAGGTCTGTGTCTGGAGGCGCAGGTCGTCATTGATGTGTGAGATTGTGCTGTGAGTATGCTTGTGGTGTGTTGGCTTTTCTGTTTGTTTTCCATTTCAGCTCTGTCCGTGTGACCCAGGTTCTCGCAATGGCATCCAAGTCAACGTGTATTGGTCGTGAAGGAAAAAAGGGTTGGATCCCTTTTTGCCGGGGAGTGTCAATGGAGTTGAAGATTGAACGATCAATTCTTGGTTGTTTGCTGAAAATCAACTTCCCCAATTTTCGCGGAGGCATCAATACGACAGTCATCGTCTCATCGGTCGCTGTTCAGAAAGAAGAGTGAAACATCGTCAGAAGTAATACAATGATTTATTATTGTAATATTTGTTTTCAGACCTTAGTTCACTTATTCTTTTTATATGTTGGTGTAACAATAAAGATATATCAATCGGCAGATCGGTGTTTTGGTTTTTTCGTCCGTTATAACTAAGCGTTTCTGAAATCTTCAAGGAACAGCGTGGGCCCGAGCGTAGCGAGAGCTGGGCATTAACGGTTTATGAGACGTGGTTGACAACCGTGGTTGCATGAACTGTATGATGACCACCTTATCTCACTAAAGGACTTTATTTTATTTCGTCAAGACCGTCAATGTTGTAATAAGAAAAATGGTGGTGGCGTTGCAACTTTTATTCACTCCAAATGGTCTGTCTCAAATAACGTCTGCTTCACCTTCTCAAATGACTTCATTGACTGTATTACTGTCAAATGTCGCCCCAAACATCTCCCCAAATATAAACAAATCTATATTACAAACATGTACATTTCTCCTAGCTGCTCTCCATCTGATCTATCTAATTTTGCTGATGAATTCACCATGTTTGCTGCTGCCAACTTCGACAACTCTCTATCCGTTATTACTGGAGACTTCAACACCTCAGATTGCTCCTTTCTTGAAGCTCTTGGTCACACAAACATAGTCAAATTTCCCACTCGACTTGACAAAACACTCGATCTAGTTTTTACTAATGACGAAGGAGTATATGAAACACGTAGACGTTCACCGATACTAAACTCCGATCACTGCATTGTCCGCGTTTTGCCAAAAATATACAGCAAAACACATATTAAAATCTTCTCACACCTGTCTACGAAAGCACAACAAAGAAGCTACACATCTGACAACCTACTCAATCTAAGATGCATGTTAAAAGATACTAACTGGGATCTATTCTATGAAAGTACATTAGATGACTCAATCACCAATATAATGGATTATCTCAAGTTCTGCCTCGACATATGCTGTCCCAAACAAACACTGTTCAAACGCCTCGACCGCTTCTCGTCTCCCCATCTCAAACAACTTCGCAGGCAAAAAGAAATGTTATATAAATGCAAAGACAAGTTAGGACTTAAAAAGATTAATGCTCAAATCAAATCTGAAATCAAAAATCTTAATGCTATCTATAACCAAACACTTTTATCATGCAAATCTCCTATCAGCATGTGGAAATTTTTCAATGAAATTACTGGCAATAGTAAGCGATGTAATGTTTTTCCCTCTTGTGATGTTAATGCTCTTAATCTGTCTTTTATACGCTCTCCTTCTACTATAACCACTTCTAACGTTACTAATCTTGTAGCTGATAACTTCCAGGACTTTAGTATTCTCGATGTTTTGAAATGTCTTAAAACTCTTAAGCCCTCACATAGTCTTGGCCCTGATGGCATACCTGCATATGTTCTAAAACAATGTGCAGATGCTTTATGCTTTCCTCTAACTAATATCCTAAATGCTTCTTTCTCCGAAAACGTTGTACCTGTTCCATGGAAAGACATTAAAATAGTCCCTGTCCCTAAACCTGGCAATAGCAAGAACGTAAAGTTCAGACCCATTGCCATCACTTCCCCGTTTCTAAAGCTCATGGAAAAACTAGTACTTCTTAAACTCGAACCCTCCCTTAAAAGCTTCGAAGACCCCAAACAATTTGCCTACAGACAGGGTAGGAGTACTTTAGACGCTGCAGCCGTCTTACACAACAGTATTGTCTCATCATTAGACAAAGGTGCCAAATATGTCCGCTGCACGTTTCTTGACTTCACTTCTGCTTTCGACTCTGTACCTAGAAGTCTCTTGCTAAATAAGCTCTCCATGACACAAACCGAGTCCTGGGTCACTAACTGGTTGCATTCCTACTTTTCAAACAGAATGCAGTACACCGTATACAAAGGCGAATCCTCCTCTGCTGTGCTCACTGAAGCTGGTGTCCCCCAAGGTGCTGTACTCTCCCCACTTCTCTTTTCATTCTTCCTACATGACCTACCATCTTCAAATGACATTAACTTTGTCAAATATGCTGATGACCTAACTGTATCTTTACCTGTCAAATGTCAAAGTGACTGCTCTAAACTAAATGGCTTCTTATCAGAAATCAGCCAATGGTCCAAGGAAAACGGTCTCACCTTAAACCCCTCCAAATGCCAAACAGTTAATTTCACCTTTAGGCACAAATCTGACCTAAACAAACTGGTTAGCACTCACGAGGTGTGCAACATAGATGGCACTGAAATTGAAACCAAGTCGGAAATTAAATACCTAGGCGTCACTCTATCTTCTGATCTTTCCTGGTCGTCTCATATCTTGACGATTTCCAAGAATATATTCCGTCTTACCTTCTACATCAAGAAGTTAAGACATTCTGGTGTAACCCAACCCTTACTCCTACAATTTGTTAACTCCCGTATTCTGCCTATTATTCTCTATTGTTCCCCCTTAGTCTTTCCTGGGCTATTGAAGAAAGACTATACCTTATTACGTAGGATGTTAAAGGTTGTCAGCAGGGTAAGCAGTTTGCCACTTAGCCAGCTTGTTAATATTCTGGTGGACAGGCACATGGACTCATGTGAAAAATGGGCGAAATCCATTTTATCTGACTCACAACACCCTCTACATTCACAACTCTCCCCATGTATCTCTTCAGGGAAAACCAGAAGCCTATATAGGAAACTATATGCCCGCACTAGTAAGTACAAAAACTCATCCATACCCTACCTAGCCCGTGTTCTGTGCGATAAAGAAAGCATTAGGCGTGAAACCTTTAACTTATTAAATAGTCAGTAGAACAAATGGATCTCGTCTTTCCAACTCACATCATTTACAGGTACAACGTTTTCTCTCTACCTTTTTTGTTATGTGTTGTTTTGTTTCTCTTTTCCTTGCAAACTCTACTTAAAACATTCTTGTTCGTTCTTTCACACTCTGTATACCTCGACCATTTTGCTATCGCTTACGCCAGTAAATATGCTAGTAGTATCTACTTTTCTAACACCTTCAAACACTCTGTTTAAATTTTGGCTTTGCTACCGACACGCTAATATGTTGTTGTCAAAACTGACTGAGATAACCTTAATCTATGTAGAACTATATTTATTGTTAATGTACTAACTGGATGCAATATTGTAGTAAAATGCTGAGAATTCCATTCTGTATCAAAAGTACTGATTTGGAATAAAGCTTATCTTATCTTACCATGTTGGTGGAACCTTTCAAATGCCAGGTCCAAATGTCTAAGGTGAGTCTCTTTGACTGGACTGGCAATGAGGCTGTCAATCACGTCTCATAAACCGTTAATGCCCAGCTCTCGCTACGCTCGGGCCCACGCTGTTCCTTGAAGATTTCAGAAACGCTTAGTTATAACGGACGAAAAAACCAAAACACCGATCTGCCGATTGATATATCTTTATTGTTACACCAACATATAAAAAGAATAAGTGAACTAAGGTCTGAAAACAAATATTACAATAATAAATCATTGTATTACTTCTGACGATGTTTCACTCTTCTTTCTGAACAGCGACCGATGAGACGATGACTGTCGTATTGATGCCTCCGCGAAAATTGGGGAAGTTGATTTTCAGCAAACAACCAAGAATTGATCGTTCAATCTTCAACTCCATTGACACTCCCCGGCAAAAAGGGATCCAACCCTTTTTTCCTTCACGACCAATACACGTTGACTTGGATGCCATTGCGAGAACCTGGGTCACACGGACAGAGCTGAAATGGAAAACAAACAGAAAAGCCAACACACCACAAGCATACTCACAGCACAATCTCACACATCAATGACGACCTGCGCCTCCAGACACAGACCTCCTCTTGACATCTTGCAACACAATCGCCACTTACTAGAATGACTCTTGCAGAATGCAAAGTGACCATGGAAGCACCTCACGATACTCCACGCACATCCTCTTATCTACTCACTACCAATTACCACTGCAATCGCTTGTCACTCATTCTGCCTCAGTTCTAGTAGCGGTGACGCATGCGAGCCTCAGTCGTTTACACTGTTTCTCCCCGGCGTGTCGGACCGCAGCTAACAATTATCTCCGTGTGCACTTCATTCTCAGCAATAGCCTCCCCGGCTTATACGACCCATCTACTGTCCTTAACATCAATCAATTCATTCATGGATGTAGAAGACTCGAAACAACTTCAGAAATAATCACGACGAAAATTTTAACAAAATTACGCAATAACAACAAGGTACGGAAACAACAAGTAAACACAATGAATCCAAAACACCACCAATTGATATGACACACCACACATATATACAAACTGTACACAAAAACTCGCGGATCACATCTTGATGGAATTCCTTTGAAGAATCGCAGGACTTACACCAGTACGCCTACAACCCTTCTCAGGTTGACGATTGTAATTTGTGGAATGTCCGGACACAAACAAGATTAACCAACAATTGCGATAATTGGAACTCACACAACTATTTAACACAAACATATGTACAATCACTACATCAAATGTTGTGGATTCAGGCATGACAAACTACCCTTGAAGAACTGTAGGACTTACAGCAGTACGCCTACATTCCTTCTCAGGTTGATGATCCCAGTGGAAGTCGTCCGGACACAAACAGAATTACCAACAGCTAGATGAGAGATGATATCAATTCAGTATATGCAATATGAACATATGTACAAAATCACACACCGAGCACATTGGGCTGCTCATTGGTGCGCTACCCTTTGAAGAATTGTAGGACTTACACCAGTACGCCTACAACCCTTCTCAGGTTGACGCCCTAGGTTGGAAAATCGTCGCAGAGTTCATTTGCTAACTTCCTTCTATGAGCTAAATCTCCAAATCTGAACGGCAACACGACCATGTCATTGTATCGTAAAATATAGATGACGAACAAACACACGGCATATCTCATCAACCAAGTGTAGAAACAGAGTAATTTACACCAAAGATAATAACATTCAAATAGTAACTTGAAACTAGAAATGCCTTTATTCGTGCAAGTCAATTTAACAATTACTCTCTCGTTTACACTTGGCTTATCCTCACTAAACTGACCATTGATATTCGCCCTTTCAAACGAACTGATACTTTCATAGTCTTTGCACAAGATACTTGAGATGATGGGTGTCTGTTTCATTGTGGATGACGGCACCAACGACGACTGATTGATATCAGTTGATGAACTTAGCGGTGGATGAGAAGCTGTTCTTTTTCGGCTTTCAGATATTTGTCTAACTGCAAGATTACCACCACTGCTGTCTTTCACTACTAGTTCGGGTTTAGCACTATCATCTGATGATAGGTGGGCTACATGCTGATCAATCACACTGACGGTCTCACAAGTATGCGTGCCTTCTGCAACTGCACCTGCATTTATTTCTACTTCACGTTCAAGTTGTACAGAACCTTTGTTCAACTTAGCAGTAGTAGGCATATCCCTCATCTCATCATGATCAACCAAAGAGAAATCTGCACTATCATGATCATTACCACAAATATTCACTTTACCGTCAACTTTATCATTTTCAAACTCTTTATTAACAGAAGTAGACAATTTTGGTTCCTCCTCAAAAATCATTAAAGGTTTTGTATCTTCACTCTGAGTAGTTATACTTTGTAAACTTGTAGGGTCAGAACTGCACTCATAAGCAGTAACTCTATTCTGTGACACTCTATTCAACAATGGCTTACCAGTTGCAACTACAGACTTCCTGACCTCACAGTTATCGTCACACAATTCGGAGTCAGACCTGGAGTTTACATTTAGCTTATCACTGAACTTGCTCACTGGTTCACAGTTCACTTCTGTATGCACTTCTTGCAAACGTGTGAAACACAACCGTGTTTGTCTTGCATCTTGTAACTTATCTGTTGAGGACGTACTACGAAACCTGTTGCACTCATTAAGTTTATATGCATTACTAGACATCATGGTGCCTTCTCGATATCCACATCTCTGAGGCTTATTCGTCATTCGTGCGTCGGTGGCACAGTGGTTAGGACTCTCATCGCCCATGCACATGGTCGGGGGTTCGAGCCCGCACGGACGCACACCTGATATCTATGGTCGGCCAGCAAAATTTGAGCTACCGATATCTATGCTGAAAATTCCATACTTGTAGCAAAAATACAGTGTGGAATCAAGCTGTAAACCAAAAAAAACGGAATGAGTGCGTTTTACCCTCAGACTGCTCTATTCTAGGGGTGAGATCTAATAGACTGGAAAACTTGCTCATAGATTGATTGACGCTATCTTTTACCAGTTTCAGGATATCATCAAACCTTGGCTCGATACCGTCATCCTCCATACGGCAGCTTATCTTCACCCACTTCTTTTGCAGTCGAGTAGGTAGACGTCTTGCTATTACTTCTAGTATAAAACTCGAGTTGAGGTCACTCATGCGATTCATCGAAATCATTCCATTCTTGTAAATTAGCAAATTATCGAAAAACTCAGTGAGTGCCTGGGAGTCATCCTGTAATTGACCACCATTACCCTTAACAGCCTCGAATAATTTCCCTGCAATCATCGAAGGTCTTCCAAACCTTTGACGTAATATGCTCATAGCCTCGTAGTAGCCCTCTTTTGGCTTCATAAATGTACAGCACTGTATAGCTCTTGAAGCATCTCCAGTGCAATATCTCATCAAATACATTAACTTCATTTCATCAGTTAATAAAATACCACTCAACATGATCTCAAACTCCTTTACAAATTGTAAATAATCAGCCGGGTTTCCATCAAAACACCGTGGTTCAAATTTAGGGAGTTTGATGTTCCTATTATCCCTGAACGGCGAAACAGTAACATCAACCATGTCATGCTTAACATCAGACACATCGTTACAATTAACAGACAAGTCACCATGACTTACTTTCCTGTTTGCATCCAAGACACTCTGTCCCTTCTTTGACCCAGGCATTGTTGAACTTGGCCCAATTCCGAAAACGTTCCAGATATTGCTTGTTTAAAGAGGACTTGACCGGCACCAGGAGAGATGAACGGTGACTATCCAAACTTTCACCAACTGTTTGAATCCGCCAGATCTGTTTCCATCGTCAGAAACTGTCAATCACGTCTCATAAACCGTTAATGCCCAGCTCTCGCTACGCTCGGGCCCACGCTGTTCCTTGAAGATTTCAGAAACGCTTAGTTATAACGGACGAAAAAACCAAAACACCGATCTGCCGATTGATATATCTTTATTGTTACACCAACATATAAAAAGAATAAGTGAACTAAGGTCTGAAAACAAATATTACAATAATAAATCATTGTATTACTTCTGACGATGTTTCACTCTTCTTTCTGAACAGCGACCGATGAGACGATGACTGTCGTATTGATGCCTCCGCGAAAATTGGGGAAGTTGATTTTCAGCAAACAACCAAGAATTGATCGTTCAATCTTCAACTCCATTGACAGAGGCAGTCGTCTAAGTATGCGTATACAAACTCGAGACCGTGAAATACTTCATCGATGAAGCGTTGGAATGTTTGGGCTGCATTCCGGAGACCGAATGGCATACGTAGAAATTGAAAATGTCCGAAAGGCGTAATGATGGCCGTTTTCGGGATATCTTCTGTTGCCATCGGGATTTGGCTATACGCTTTAACCAAGTCAATTTTATGGAATATAGCCGCGCCAGATAAGGTTACCGTTAAGTCGTGTTTATAAGGCAATGGGTAGCAATCAGGGGTTGTTTTGGCATTCACTCACTGGTAATCACCGGTGGGTCGCCAATCGTTGCTATCCTTTTTCGGAACCATATGAAGTGGGGATCTGCATGAGCTATTTGATGGCCGAATGATGCCACTGTTCGAACTCATTTCTGGCGAGTCTCAGTCTGTCAGGAGCCAGTCGTCGTGCTCTAGATGTCACAGGCTGTCCTGAGGTTATGATATGGTGCATAACATTTCTGCTCATGCACGGTAGGTTGTTAGACGGGCAACTAAGTTGCGGATATTTATCAACAATCGGTTGAAAAGTTGGATCAATGATTGCTTTCATCTTAACGAGTGACAAGCTGGGGCCTATATAGGTGATGCCGCTGATAGACAGACTAGTAGTATTGCCAATCAGTCGTTTTCGGCGGACGTCTACGAGTAAATCATGATGATTAAGTAAATCTGTGCCAATGATGGGCATTGTGACGTCAGCATGAAGGAAAATCCACTGAATTGGTTTGTGTGAACCTACGTTCAGATAGACGTATTTTCTACCAAATGTTGCGATTGGTTGTCCATTTGCAGGCTGTAAGTTAAAGGTAGGTTCCTTCTGCCGATCTCCTGCTACAGCAGGAAGGCCGCTGACTTCGGCGCCTGTGTCGTCTGAATATCGCGTCAGGCTCATCACATCATGGATGTAAAGAAGGCGGCTAGTGGCATCGGCGACGGCTGCCGCTAACGCGTGCCGTCGGGATTGTTTCCCATAGACTTTAAAACATTGCCGAAGTTACAAGGCTTAGGGCAACACTTCGCTTCTTGGCCATAGGTGTTGTGGTACCAGCACCAGTCAGGGTTTTTGAGTAAATGTGGTTTGGATTTAGATCGACCACGTGAGTTTCTGCATTGAGGAGATTTAGGACGACGGTCGGAGAAGTTAGAACGCATGTTTGACCTAAACATCTGCTGGATGGAGTTGCACAACTTTATCATTGCAGTATCCTTACTCGAAGTCTGCTTAGTTATCGAGGATATTTCGGGAACTGACCGTTTATTTATTTCTAGAATCCTATCTGGAGAAATAGCTAAGTCATCTATTACAACACCCTGAAGTGTCACAAGTACGGTCTGTACAGACTGTGGCAGCTTGGTTAAGAAGAGTTCTCTAAATAGCCCTTCGTCGAACTGACTCTGGCCAACAACTTCACTAATTGTCGTCAGCATGCTCACGGCTGACTGATCTCCTAACTCGATGTTACGAAATAATTCGTCCAGACGTTGTCGGTCCGTGGGAACGTTTCTCCTGAGGAGGGATGCTTTGAGCAACTCGTACGAGTTACTTACCTCGGGACTGGACATCTGTGATGCTACGTACTTGCTGAATTCCTGCGGTAGGGCGTGAATAACTGTAAGCAACTTTGAACAATGATCGGTTATCCCATGCTCACAAAAATCTGCCTCAGCTAGCTAAAACCACGTTTCAACATTATCTGGCCAGTATGGTACAAGCTGAATGGTTTTAGGAGTCGAGAGGGGACGAATGACCTCGGGACTAAGATCACTCATGACGAAAATTATGTCGAATAATATATGGTACAAGAACAAATACAAAATGGAACGTACTCACCGGGATTATCTGCGTATTTGTCGTAGATGAAGTTCGCGGTTCGGCTCACCAGTTTATAGGTTGACGGAATTCTCTTACACAGCCTCTAACTTATTAGTTCTCGCGTGCCAACAACAAAGCAAAAGCCAATATTTGATCGTCCAAACTAAGTGATATACTTCGGGACCAAAACAAGCCGTCAGACGAACGCTTAGCTGGCTAGTGATCGTGCACGTGACACGACGGGGTACCGAATGGCGGGGATGCTTGACCGGAAGCCTTCAGCTAAACAAGTCGAATTAAACAGTGGTGGTCAGCATCCAATGGTGAGTGATTGCTGTGGTCAATAATTTTGGGGAATTATTTACCGCTACAAGAAAAACGACTGACTGTAAAGGAAAATATCTGCAGTTCTAGTTCAACTAACATATGTACATTTATAAGAGGATCAACGTATTACATAAGAGACCTAACGATTTAAAATCAAAGAATCCAAAGTTTTCAGACAGGTCAGTTTTCTAATAATCATATAGGTAGATGCGTGCAGAGTAATTGGACACAGAATACAAATGCGCTTTCTCTGTCTGTTTGCGGTTCCTTCGTGATGAGTATTTTTCCTTGTTTGTTTTGGGTTTTCGTGGTTCTCTGTGAACATATTATCTGCCGGAAGCACACATTAAACCTTAAGGTTTTTGTCTTATCAGTGTTTACTCAAAGTTTAGAACGATGGCAGAAAAGCAGTGTTGTGCAGTCACTTTGGATTTGCGAAGGGTTCATTCCTATCGGTTTCCATTCAGAAACTTGAGGGTGACCTGCAGCATGTAAGTCTCACCGTGTGGATTTTTACCCCTAATAACTTTCTTTGGTAATGTGCAAATGTTCTTTCAATTCTGAGTCGCAAAAACAAATACTAGGAAATATTAATGAAATTTGAATGAGTTAGCCTGTACATCGTTGGAGTTTGCCTTTTGCTGTTTATAGGAGTTGTCTTTTGAACTGTTTTTTCGGCATATTTCAGTCTTAGACCACCTGGAATTTTCTGCGGTAACTTAAAAAAGAATTACTTTCGAGCCATATGGTTTATCTGGTGTTAAATTCCTATGTATTTGGATATCGTTAATTTTTCTGATGAAGAGTATTGCTAAACTAAGATTAACCAATTCGAGACTTAAGGATGGTTCATAAATCTAATGGTCATTTGTTTGGTTTTCATTACTAAGGGTTCATAAGGTATGTCAACTGGAGGCATCATACAGAAACACTTGTTGCTGTTAATAGAGTTTTTCTCCGCAACAGAGTCTACAAGGAATGAATTAATTTGAAGTTTTCAGTACTAAGACTATTAGTTATGCAAGAATATACTGGATCAGCATGCACAACCCATGCAACAGTCATATGGTTTGGGTGATAGAACTCGGAAAGTTATACTCGAGGAGCTGTAGGATTTTCATATCTGCTTCAAATAACCATGTGTTACAGGGTAAACTGCTTCGTCGCACAAGTTTACATACAGGCAACTCTATATATCTCGCCTACGCCGAGATTAACTCAATTCCGAAACTCGACGTCCTAATACTTAACCCATAATAAAGAGGATAGCTTGCTGACTTGGTATTTTGATTGGACACTAGTAACTAGTGTGATGTATCTAGTCCTTTCTTTGGTGCAGACTGAATTCTATCAGTGTATCCAACCATCTAATACCAAAAATTGCTGACTTAGTGTTTGTAGGAGATACATTCGTTTTGAACAAGTAGATGGAGTTTTAGGAACACCTTAATCACCGTAAAAATACATACTTTGCCCCCGTCAAGTGTTAGATGGTGCCATAAGACTGGTTCTGCACCAATTAGTTCAGGAGTAGAGTGTATTTGCTGACCACCATATCCTTTTTGGAGGGTTTATACGTTTGGGTTTTGATGCAGTCCTCTTAAACTCAGCTTGCGTTTTTGGGCTGATGCTCACTTCGTATTCATTCTGAAGTTGGATGTTAGGCGACTATAAACTAGTTGAACTGCTCCTCGGAGTATTCTGCTCAACTTTCTATTTATCCATGCTGCGAATTTATAAAGTTCTGACTTTCTCAGAGGTTATTCCACTTAACATGGTCCTTTTAGACACCGTCTTCTCACGAAACCAAAGTACTTAACCAGTATTACCTAGTGCAGATGCCCTTTCCGCATTTAGGCTTTAGTCATTCACCATTGTTCTTGGCTGTAATGTAATGTAAGGCCTTTCGTTCACAACCACTTGAAACTTTCGTGGAATCAGTTCCGACATCGTTGATAAAGCCATGCATCGACTTTCGATACGTTGTTGTTTACAGATTATTATGCTTGACATTTAGACAGTTTGGCAGGTTTCGTGAAAATAAGTAATGCTCTCTTCCATTAATCATATGTGTCGGTAACTTTTAGCAACATTATATTTTTTATTGGTCACCTATTATGAATGATCACTTAGTAAGGCAATATCTGCGTTTTAAGGTAGGACTATCAAGAAATAGGTGACAGTAGAATTCAGAAAAGCGATCACCGTCGACTGCATTCTCATGATATGTATTTTAACTGACTTGACTTACTTATTTGAGGTATAGATCCGTCTTATGCTTCTGCAAACTTTATCAAGTTAGTTTACTTTTTAGTGTAACAACCTCCTAAACCAGTTCATTTGCAATACGGCTTTTTAATCCAACTAGTTTTAGCACAAAAACTTACTTATAACCCTTGGATATTTAGTCATCCCTTAGAAAAGCGTGTGAACTATGCAGTAGTCCTCTTCGTCCTTCACCCCTGCCAAGTGAATATGAGAGAAATCGCATGTTTTGTATCATAATTATCTTGGTTCGCGTTAGAAAAGTTAAACAAGTGACAACTTTAAATGTAGAACTTAGCATCCTACTACGTGTCTCCATTCGGCAGTCATAGACTTCATGAAGCAGCATGGTAAGCAATGTTGAGCCTAGGCATAGTGTTATGTAAGGTAGGTAAGGATAAAGTTTCACCAATTAAGGTAGAGGGAACATAAGTCGTGCACTCTGTGATATTGGGAAGTTGCATCAGCTCCAACGGGTTGATCTCTGACGAAATCTCAGCACGGATACAGACGGCTAGTCTCGCATATGCCATTTTACGCCATCTCTGGTTTAGTATACGAGATATCCGGTCGGCTGTCAACCAAAGAGCGTGTGTACTGCTCATCAGTCCGCTACGTCCTCTCTTAATACTGTGAGTGAGACATGGACAATGAGAGGGGAAGACATGAAAATGCCTGGCTAGCTGTCTGCGTTCTATCTCCCGTGTTTGGTGGTATAATAGGGGGAGCAATATTGAGGTTAGGCATCAGTCGAGTGCTAGTCTAAGTAAGGAGGGGAAATCAATCGACAAGGTTGTGAAGCAGCTGCATCGACTGAGTGAGATGGTTAGGACATGTGTTACGTATGCTAGCCCAACCATCGCCTTCCTGGATAAACAATGTTAGCTGACATAGGATTGAGGAGGTTGGAAGAGAAATAGTGGTGATCAAACTAAAACGTGGCTTCATCAGTCAATGAAATCCATAACAGTTAGTTTAAGGCAGTCACGTAGGGAGGTGTGACTTCCTGATTGGAGTCCTCGGGACTGCAGAAACCAATGGCTGGTGACTAGTGATATGGCTCAAAATCGTTCTCAATGGCTGGCACACATGCATTCACTCCTTGTGACTTATGATATCCAATGAGACTATATTGTTCTTCGTTATTATATTTCTTTTTGTCTCATATCCCTATTTACTATCTATCTATTATGCATTTCTTCTACTTTCTTCTCTTGCTTTGTGTGTTCCAGGGAGTGAGAGTGGCGACTTAAACTGCTGCATATCGATGTAAAGTTCTATGTCAAAAACAGACAGACTGTGATATCGCCTTCCTTGACGAGTGTTGGCTAAAGTCGACTTATTTTGAAAGGTAATTTAAGCGTAGTCAGACTAAAAACGATCGGAATATATGAAGTCAATAACCGTTTGTCTGTAGTACTTTAGTGGTCCATCTTTGGGTAGTCATATGCTTTCATGCATAGTAATTCAATTAGATTGTGAGTTGTAAGAATAACTAATACACGAGGAAGTTTAAATTTTAACTGCGACTGACATGTTACTTTCCCTTTAGAATTTCTACTTCATTATTTAAAGACACTTAAATCACAAATGGTTATGATTTGGAGAATCGTTGGGAGTGAAAGGAAAGTAGACAGTTGTTTTACTTCGTTTTGAAAATATGAAATTTTGAAGCGTCATGAAGAGTTGCTTCTTCTGCTTAGTGTTTACGTAAGATGCAACTTTTAGTCAGTCTCTAACTCACTTGAATGGTATTATCAATGGGTTGGCTAGTCGTAAATTTTCTTTAGCATTTCGGCTCATATTGTCTTATAGCCTAAATTACTTTTAACCACAAAATGCTTTATTGATCAATACCTGTCTGTCTGTCTGTCTGTCTGGATTCAACATAGAACTTGGCACCGAAGTGCACCAGTTCGAGTTGCCACGTTCCAAATAGCACACAGAGGTAGACAAGAAGATGAGTGAAGAGAATCAATAGAGTTTGACAAGTATAAGAGTGAAACAGAATGGGTAATGGTAGAAAGGAATATGAAAGATTACAGAGACTGAATACATCTGCGCTGGCCATTGACAACGATTTTGAGCCATGTCACCTATTGTCTCCAGCCATTGATTCCTAGAGTCCCGAGGGCCCCAACCCGGGAGTCTGCATCTCCCTACCTGACTCAGTTTAACTGTCAAGGATTTCATGGATTGATGAGGCCATGTTTTTGTTTGGCCACCACTGGCTCTTTTCCAACCTGCACCTATATCAGCTAGTAATGCCCGTCGGGGGAGGCGGTGGTTAGGCATGCGCAGCACGTGACCTAGCCATCTTAGTCTATGTAACTTTATAGCTTCGTCGACGCCTAACGTCAACATTACTTACCTTATTAAACCACCTAACGTGAGACAGAGATCGCAGACATCTATGATCGAAAGCAGTCAACCTTTTCATGTCTTCAACGCGTATTGGCCATGTTTCAGAGCCATAGAGAAGGACGGAGCGAACTGATGAGCAGTACACACGTCCCTTGGTTGATAACCGGATGTCACGCCTACGCCAGAGATGGTGTAAGTCAGCGAAAGCAGCTCGAGCTTTTCGGATCCGTGCTGAGATTTCATCGCCAATCAGTCCGTTGGTGCTAATACAACTTCCCAAATAGGTGAAGTGGTCAACATGTTCTATCACTTCACTCCCTATCACTAAGTTAGGGTTGACGTGTCCAGTCCTGTAGCAGCATCTTACATTTTGCAGGGGCGAATCGCATGCCAAACATACGAAGATTGCTGCTCAAGGTGTTCAGAAGACTCTGCATTTTGTCAGCATCCTCCCCTAACAGGACTATGTCATCTGCATATTCTAAGTCCATAAGACTATTCCCTGGTAACAAGTCGATTCCTAAGTCATTACGTTCAGTTAAGGATACTTCCATCAGCATATCTATGATGAAGTTAAACAGAAATGGGGAAAGTGGACATCCCTGTCGGACACCACTGGTTGTTACCAATTCAGATGACAATTCCCCATAAGCCCTTACACGACTACGTGAGTTTGAATAGAGTGCCTTGATTAGTGCAATGTACTTTCTTGGCACTCCCTTCACAGTCAGACATTGCCATAGTACCTTTCGATCCACGGAGTCGAAGGCCGCCTTCAAGTCAAGAAATATGACAATTGTTGGACGCCGAAAAGTGTGTCTATGTTCTAGAATCTGTCGAAGAGTGAAGATATGATCTATGCACCCTCTACCTGGTCTAAAGCCTGCTTGATTTTCCCTTGTCTGTTCCTCCCGAGTTCTGCTTAGTCTATGCATGATTACTGAGCCTAGGATTTTAGAGACTATGTTCGTTAGGCTGATCCCCCTATGATTATCACACGAGGACTTGTTTCCCTTCTTGAATATCGGTATAATAAGTGACTTACCCCAGTCTGATGGCACTGTCTCTGATTCCCAGACTTTGCCTAGTACCTCAGTTAATCTACAAACTAGTATGTCACCCCCATATTTAAACACCTCCGGAATAATTCCGTCGGGTCCTGCCGCTTTGCCTCGTTTCAAATTACTGATAGCTTTTGTGACCTCACTTACAGACGGCGGACCAGTGTCTATATCCCATTCGGGTGTGTGTGGATGGCGGGGAGGTTCAGTGTGGCTGTAGGCAAGTTAAATTGTTCCTCAAAGTGTTCTTTCCAGCGTTCAAGGCGTCTATCCTGAGAGCTAATTAAGGAGCCATTTTTCTCAGAAATAGTCTCACTTATGATTTGCCTTCTCCCACCCGTTTCTGATGAGTCTAAAGAGTTGCCTAGTGTTGCCTATCGCCAATGCTTTTTCCATCTCTTTGGCTTTTGTCACCCACCACTGTTCACGGTCCTTGCGGAGACTTTTAGTAAGTTTCCTTTTGTGCAGCTTTCGCTCCTCATTGAATTCGGAGCTCGCCGGAATAAGTCTTCTAGCATCTATCAGTTCGGATGAGGCAGTCGAAATCCAGTGGTTTTTACTCACCTTTGGATTTGCCTTATTCACAGCTTTTACAGCTGTATCTATAGCTGACTGAATATTCTTCCAGGCTTCTCCAGGGTGAGCACAGCTGTCGAACACAGATATGCGTTTAGCTAGTTCTTCCTCAAATAGGGATTTAGTTTCCTGATCGAGCTGGGGACGTGATGGTTTTACCGCCAGCTGTTTCCTACGTCCGTTCAGTCGTAAGCACACACGAGCCCGGACCAGTGCGTGATCGGTATCTACACACGTGTTCCAGAAGGAGCGACAATCTCCTACCGACCCACGCCAACGATAGCTTATTGCTATGTGGTCTATTTGTGTCCAGCGTTGGTTTGATGATGGGGGTCGCCAGGTTAAACAGTGTCTCTCCTTGTGTTTAAAGTTAGTGCTTACAAGAAACAAATGATTATCTGAACAGAACTGTAGGAGACGGTCACCGTTGTCGGTTCGCTGGCACGGAACTCCATAGGTGCCACCGACATCCTTCTCAGATTGACACAATTTCCCTACTTGAGCGTTAAAGTCACCAGCTAGAACGACTATATCTGAGCGTTTAGCCTTTCTCACCAAACTAGACAGCTTTTGGTAGAACTCATCCTTCGTTTCATCCGAACTGCAGTCAGTGGGGGCGTAGGCGGAGATTACGAAAAGGCATCGGCGAGTAGTGCAGTCCTTTCTCCTTCTTACTGATCCGTTCAGACGGACAGCACACATTCGGCTATCTACTGGGATCCAGTCAAGCAATGTCTTTTCTGCCCTAGTACTCAAAGCTATCCCTACGCCAGCTAATCCTCGTGAACTAGCTGTGGCATCTCCTGACACCCTCAAGGTGAATTTTGAAGATTCATCCTGTTGGCCAGGTGGGGTTAGGTGAATAACCACACTTGGGTCTTGTATGCGTGTTTCTGAAACACAACATACATCAATGGCTCGGGATGCCAGGGTCTTAGCTAGTGATGCTTGTTGTCCTATTTGGCAAAGTGTCCTAACATTAAATGCTCCTATATGAAATTGGTGGCGTGGCTTTAGGAGACTATCGGTGGTGGTTTTTTGGCTTCCGTCGTTTTTAGTGGACACAGAGTGAAGAGGGAGTGAGGAGCCATCAAGTAGAGGAGTTGCATCACTGGGGGAAGGTAAGGTAATAGAGATGAAGATGAAGACAAAGATAAGTGAGGATTAGAGAGGTTTTGTGTGCGTTTTGGATTGTGAGGGCGATTGTTACTTCCCGGCTGCCCACACCGTGGAAGTTGGTTGCGTGACCGCAGAGCCCAGGGGACAACTGCTTGAGGCCGGTCACACGCGGCCTGTTTTTGTTTGTTCTCTTTGTTTGGTGTGCCTCAGTACTTATCACTCCTGCCCTGTGACACGGCAGCAGGAAGCGCGGTCGTTGTTAATCCGGGCCACGGCCGATCCGGCATGAAATTTTGTGAATTTGTTTGAATCATGGTATTGGATGAGGTAGCTGCTTTTTGTTTAACCGCTATCCAAACAACCTGCCTGGCATGGTAGAACCTCAAGAGACATAAGTCTCAGCCAGTATAGCTTGATTAGGTCATTGCGGTGTTCAAGCCCGACCACCACGTCAAGGTAGCAGCTTTCGGTCGGGCCAGTATACGGTCACATGATTTTGATCAGTGCATTGACTAACTTATGCATTCCCAGGAGTAACTTCATAGCCAGTTGTTACACCTCTCGATTACGAGGTATATGGAGCTTTTACGTGAAAAGTGGTGAAAATTCAGGAAATCGTTGAGTTATAGAACCGATTAATGAAAGGAACTAAAATTAACACACTTCTCTGTGTCTAAAACGTGTTACAGTCTCAGCTTTGTTTTTGAAGAACCTGTCGTATGCTCATTATCATACGAGTTATAATACAAAAGTACCTAAACTTAATTCCTTATTGTCACCAACGTTCTATACGCATCCAATAAGACCATCTGGAAATTTCGTAGAGAGTAGGTTCATTCTACTAGTAAATACTTCTTTACTGTCATCTTTAAATACTCATGTAGTCAAGGAGTTACAGCCTACCGCTTTCCCTGGTTTTAAATTTGAGATAGCTCATGAAAGTGAGGATAGCCCTGGGAAATATACGGTCACTATCACTTCAGGCTGGTTAGCTGCAGCAACTTTAACTGCATTACTAACATTTTCCCAATGCTTCCACCAACCGCTTCGTCACCTGCCACAGTTTTCCAACACCTGTCTTTCTTAGGAGCTTCGGCAGTCAATAATTATTACATGGAGCTTTTGCGACTTCTTATTCTTCTGTCTTCAACATCTGCCCTTAATCACGGTCTTTTAGACAACCTTCAATAGTTTGGCATTAATGCAGTTTTTCTCCCGCATCGTATTAAATGATTGCTGGAATCCAGCTCCTTTTAGTAACCACTTCGAATAAGGTTATTTTTATTTATTTTTAAATTTTTGATTACAGCTTGATTCCACACCGTATTTTTGGTACAAGTATAGAATTTTCAGCATGTGATATCGGTAACCCAAATTTCGCAGACCGACCATAGATATCAAGTGTGCGTCGGCAAAGGATCGAACTCCAGACCATGTGCATGATCGGCGAGAGTTCTAACCGTTGTGCCACCGACTCAGTTATATAACTTTCTATACTAGAATAGATATAACCAAGTGGGAGTTTTAATCTTGGTAATTTAAGAATCTACCTCTTCTGTTTCATTGCAGTCAGTGTGTTAACGCAGATTATAAAACACTAGCGAGTAGCACTAGTTTGTTTCTTCTTTATTAATTCATTTAACTACATAAAACAACTGTCCGTTGTGACACAGCTTAATGCAAACTTTACCCAGCGACGCCTCACAAACCAATCATAAAATTCCCCGGTGCTAGTCGGATAAATGTCCCACATTCACCACAATGGACAGATAGGATGAAGTATTCAAGGCCAAGCGATAGGTCACAAGGTGCGAGAACTTGGTGGGGGTGGCTGACGTTATTCGTACGATTTATATATATATATATATATATATATATATATATATATATATTTAGGCTTTTTGTTACAGATGCAGAACAGTTTTCCCAACTTAATTAGCCATCAATTTCATTATAAGCGCTCCTGAATAGACCTCAAATGAAGTGTAATACAATCTAAACTTAAACTTTACAGAAATTTCAAAGCCGGTAGGCTGCGGCTCATTTTCCCAACAGAACCGCTTACTATTGTGTTCGCATTGATAGCAATTTTCCCATTTACGTCTTCCTGATAACTGCTGTTTTGCCGTGGTGGACGGGCTTGAATACCGCAGTGACCCGACAAGCTAAACTGGCTGAGACTCATGTTCCTGCAGGTCCCACCATGTCAGGAAGGTTGTTTAGATCGCGGTTAGACTAAAAACAGTTACCATGGGATACATGGGCTCAAGAATCCAATCGGATCAAATGGCGTATGAACCCATATTGGTCACTGGTAGTCATGGGAATGCAGCTCCGCTGCCTTGTGGATTAGACTGCAAGTCAAAGGCTCCGGGGGGGGGCGGTCCCTTAAGAAAACCACCTGCTTCGATCTGGGCGCCCGGGCAGTATCCCAGCCCTCACACAAGTGTGGCGGATATTTCTTGGTGCCATATTGTACCAAGTTTTTTCTGCGTTTAAATAATAATAATTCTTGTGAATGACTTTAGCTACTTAATTATATCTTATTCATTTTCCAGATAACTTTCACTTTGGACAAGGCTGGTGATTCAGGAGTGGCCTCGCTTATTGTAAGTTAGTGTATTATAATATACTTATGCATTCTTTCTCATTAGGAGTCCAAATCAAATACGTGTTTTTGGGATAAATCTTTCAAATTTCTCTATCTCTCCTTCGATACATCCTCCAAGTTTGTAGTTTACAATTACAATATTCTAATCTGTGTACTTCATTAGAACACTTGTCATACACAATAATGATAGTCATTACAAGGGTGTGATATTTGAAGCGACTGCCTTGGAAATGGAAGAGGATGGTGAAACTGTCATTAGGCCGACAGGTTTACTTGACAATATCCAGTATGCTCTGAGGTGTTTACGCCTGGTTAGTGATGATAGCCTGACAGTGGCGAAAGCGATAAATGCGGTAAGTTTCATTCATTAAAGTACTAATGTGTTTTCCAACTTGTCTCCCCTTCTGTTTTGCTGTTGTATAAACATTTGGTTTACATAACTGATTATGTAGATCCATTGTTCATTGTTCGCTTAAAAGTGGACCTTTGTGCCCTTACCAACATGTTTAATTTCATATTCATAACATGTTCTTTTGCGAATATGCTTGTTCATTTGGATTTTTTATTAGGTAGGGAAAATTTGATTGTCTTTCAGTAGTCGAAAACACGTAGTTTACATAAGTAGGCATTGCTCACTAATCAATGTTGTCATTTAAAAACGTTAAAAATTGTCCTAGGCCCCATGAACTGACTCACATTGTCTAAACAACACTGCGTCTAACCTCAGTGTCTTTGTGTCTTGGGTTTCTCTGCAACCAAGCAGTAGTATGTTTTTAAAAATTCGTTTACGTTCTCAGTGGAACATAGGGCTTCAAGCTTCTTGGGCTTTGAAGTTTCTGTAGCAGTGGTATTTATTTTTTACGGGATGGGGTTGCTAGTCAGACTCATGCCCAACCTTCTCTCTTTGCCAGTCTAATTTCTGGCTTGGCGAGGTAAGGGAGTGCTTTGGTGGCCGAGGATTAAATCCCGGACCACATGGAGCGTGGTTGGCAAGCATTCTACCGGTGTGCTACCGACGACGCAGCAGTATGAATACACTCAAAACCTGTGATATTTTCATATCTTTTACCTTCAAAAATGTTTTCTGTATTATAAAATAAAACAGAGTGGACTGTCTAGTACTACTGAATTTCTATAGAAAGCAGATTGTCTTACTCAATGAAACTGAAGGAGCTTTAAGTCAACAAAATCTGAACAGGTTTCTTATTTTCGTGGTAAGTTTGCATCACCAACCATTCCAACGTAAGGACGGTGAGACTTGCTAAATAAATGTAGTAGTAGTAATAGTCTGCACAACATACCACTTCGTCTTTATCGTTGAGCTGCAGACACTAGTGCGAAGCACATCGGAACGAATTTAAAAGACTGCGTTCTGTCATTTTCTTTATCTAACATAACTAAATCCTCCGTATACTGTATATATTTTGATTAGATATACATTGTATCACAGTATTCATTTATTAGGCTATGAGCGCCACGGTTTACAGGGTGAAATCCGAACTCACAACTGTTCAGTAAATCGCACTGCAATATGTGTGAAGATAATCAATCAGAAGACTGCACGCAAAATACCTCTGAAGTGATGACAATCAATGGTGTCCATCCGGTGAGGGGATGCCCGCTTTCCCCATTGCTGTTTAATTTCATCATAGGATGTACTCGTGGAATCGACCCTAACTGACTTCAGAGACCTAGGAATTGACTTGTTAACTTAGAATATGCAGTTGACATAGGGCTCTGAGGTAAAGATACTGACAAAATGCAGAATCTTTTGAGCACCTTGAGGTGCAGCAGTCCTTGAATGTTTGGCGTGCGATTAGTCCTTGTCAGATGTAAGATAGTGCTACAGGACTGGACTATATTGACTACTAGTTGACTTTAAGATGATAGGGAGTGAAGTGGTTTGTGTAGCGTGTTCACCACTTCACTTAGGTTTAGAGGGGAACTCAATTGACGAGGCTGTGAAGCTACATCGATTGAGGTGGTGAGGACATGTGTTACGTATGCCTAGTCATCGCCTTCCTCGACAATGGGCAATGTTAGCTGACATAGTCAGGCTGGAAAAGGGCTAGCGACGGTCGAACTAAAACGTGGATTCATCAGTCAATGAAATTCACAACAGTTAGTGTAGGCCAGCCAGTCACGTAGGGAGTTGTAGGCTGGTGTCTGGCTGGTTGGCATCCTCGGGATGGTAAGAACCATTGAAGACTGGAGACAATCGGTGAAATGTCTCAAAATCGTTCTCAGTGGCTGGTACACATGCATTCACTCCTTGTGACTTATGATATCCAATGAGACTATATTGTTCTTCGTTATTATATTTCTTTTTGTCTCATATCCCTATTTACTATCTATCTATTATGCATTTCTTCTACTTTTTTCTCTTGCTTTATGTGCTACAAGGTGGGAGGGTGGCGACTTGAACTGGTGCACATCGGTGCAAAGTTCTATGTTGAAAACAGACAGGCTTCACTGACTTACGTGTTTAGAGTCATCGGGATGGTAAAAACCATTGGTTGGAGATAATCAGTGATATGGCTCAAAATATCCATTAAGCTGTAACCTTTCTCCATGTTCCTATTCTCTCCACACTGGTATTTCTGTTTTATTGTCGTTGCTTCGAACCTCTTATTTTCCCTTTTATCTCTTCGTTTACATAGAGGGTATGACAACTCGAACCGGTGCATTTGTGTGTGCAAAGTTCTGTTTTGAAACTAGTTAGTCATTCACTCAGTTCTCTAGTTAGTGGTCTATAATAGCGGGCATTTAATATCTGCAGCATTACCTAACACTTAGCTAAACTTCTTGCTGAGCTGTGTAAACTTCAACCAACTTTGACGTTAATACGTGACTCAACAATTGATTTATTTATAAAAATAGTTTTGAATTGCATATATGTAATAACGAGTTGAAGTTGTCACGCTTCAATTTCAATTTAATCAGTCCATTTCCAACTCATGTGTTAAAGATTTAAACGTGTTTTACATATTCACGTTTGAATAATCGCAAAGCGTTATGAATCGCAGTTCAAATCTGTTGCAAAAGATTTATATTCATTCATACTATTAATTAACTGTATTACATTTCCATTAAAAAAAGAAAATTAATCTGTTCCATATATATACATAACATTTATTTCAGATCATATTATCAGAACCACAATTTTTGAATAGTGTTAAACACATGGTACCTAGTGATTTATTCGAAAAACAGTATCTTGTCTATCGTCTTTTACGTCAAGTTGCTGAATACAAATTAAGTAGTGACAGTGAAGAACTGTTTATTCAAGTATTGAAACCTGTAAAACACATTGAACCTGGTAATATGAAAGAATTGCAACATATTTTTCGAATTATTCTATCTCAAATAACACCAAGTGGTAAGATTACTACTTTTGTACTATTTAGACGCTTTTTTTTCTTTGTCTTTCTATTGAGTATGGTGTTTTTGTTGATATTAGTTTGGGTTGGAAGCGATCGGCCACAGGAAACCTCCCTCAACTGACACCTAGGTTTCGTACTAGTTGTCACTCATCAGTCAGAATTTATGTCCCGTCTGAGTTTCGAATCTGCTTGTCATTGAGTACTTCTTCAGTCGGAGACGTTATCACTGAGTTGACGGAGCTCGTAATTGACCTCCTGTGTGATGGCAAGCAGCCTAGCCTGGTATGGTGACCGCATTGCTAACTTGATTGATGTGATGGAATTCAGTCTGCACCAATACCAAGGACTAGACGACACATGACACCCTAGTTACTAGCTAGTGTCCAACCAAAACAGCCTTTTCGCGTCAACTGAAATCATTCATCACCAGGTTTTGAGTATTTTTTTTCCAGGTATTGGTTTTGTTTGACTGTATGGAGCATTTCATCATGAGCTGACATCAGTTAGAGAACCACTGGAAAACCTGCAGGGAGTACTGGAGTCCTGTTTTGTCCTAGTTTCGGGCTCTTCATCAGTACTCATCCACCGCCAGGGTTCGGACCCAGGACTTTCTGGTTACAAGGCGAGCTAGCTCGTAGACCATTGAGCCACTGGGACCCAACCCAGTGGTCTTTGAATTCTAACTTTTGTTTTGAGGATTTGATTCTTTCAGAGTCAAGTGCTTTCACAGTCTTGATTTAAAGTTTAGAGATATACATTTCAATAAGAGGGATATTAGGTTGTTGTGAGGTATGATCATATACATATTTAGCATTAATAAAAGGCAATGGGTTAGATATTGACCCTGATCTTATAATGACTATACTTTAGATAAAGCAATGGGAAGACGTAATTTGTTCATCAGGAGGTATAAAGCAGTCAGAACACGAAGACACCCACTCTCTAACTTGCCTCTAAGAAAGACATGTACATCAAGCTACCCTATATGGGACATCGTGGCAGCTTGATAACTAGACAAAGACTGAAGACTGTTGTGGTTAAAAAGACTTTTTATGCAGCTAATATCATAATAATTGAGCATGTGAAGCCAATATATCTATCTAAGGCGTTAGAATATGTGAAAAATGATGTCTCATATGTCAAGAAGTCTACACCTCCCACGTGACTGGCTTAAATTAACTGTTGTGGATTTCATTGACTGGTGAAGCCATGTTTTGACCGCTTAACTTATTTGGGAAGTACCATCAGCCAGTGCCAACAGGTTGATCTCTGACGAAATCTCGGCACGAATAGAGGGGGCTCGTTTCGCATTTTCCAGTTTACGCTGACTCTGGCGTAGACGAGATGTTTGACTATCGACCAAAGGGCGGGTGTACTGCTCATCAGTCCGCTCCGTCCTCCTTTATGGTTGTGAGACCTGGCCACTGAGAGTGGAAAGACATGAAAAGACTAGTTGTCTTTGATCATAGATGCCTGCGCTCTATTTCCCGTGTAAAGTGGCATAATAAGGTGAGCAATATTGAGGTTAGGCGTCGAGTTCTAGGTAAACAGGGGAAATCAATCGACGAAGTTGTGAAGTTACATAGACTGAGATGGTTAGGACATGTGTTACGTATGCCAAGTCATCGCCTCCCTCGACGAGCTATGTTAGCGGATATAGGGTCAGGCTGGAAAAAAGCTAGCGGCGGTCAAACAAAAACTTGGCACCAGTCAATGAAATCCACAACAGTTGGTCTAAGCCACGTAGGAAGGTGTAGACTTCCAGACTGGGGTCCTTGGGACGGTAAAAACCAATGGTTGGAAACAATTGGTGACATGGCTCAAAATCGTTCTCAGTGGCGCAGATGCATCCACTCCTTGTGACTTATGATCTCCAATGAAACTGTTTTGTATTTCTTTATTACTCCTTTGTCTCACACCTCTGCTCACTGTTTCTATTATGCTTTTCTTGTACTTTCTTCTCTTGCTTCGCGTGCTACACGGAGTGTGGCGACTTGAACTTCCGCACATATGTGCAAAGTTCTATGTCGAAAACTGACAGACAGAAGCCATGTTTTGGTTTGACCTCCGCTACCTCTTTTCCAGTCTGACCCCATGTCAGCTAACATTGTTTATTGAGGAAGGCGATGATTGGGAATACGTAAAACATAATCCAACCATCTCAGTCGATGCAGCTGCTTCACAGCCTCGTCGATTGATTTCACCTCTTGACCTAGTTTAGCACTTGACAGAAGCCTAACCTCAATATTGCTCACCCTGTTATAACACTTCACATGGGGGATAGAACGTAGGCACTTATGATCAAAAACAGCTAGCAGTGCTTTTCATGTCTTCCACTCTCGATGGCCATGTCTCACTCATAGTAATAATGGAGAAAACTGCTGACCAGTACACCCGCTCCTCGGTCGATAGCCAGCCGGATATCACGTATAAGCCAGAGACGGCGTAGACTGGCATATGCGAGACTAGCCCTCTGTATCCGTTCTGAGATTACGTCAGAAATCAACCCGTGATGGCCAGTAAGCGCAAAAATAGGTGATCCGAGGTTTCCTGCCGATTGTCTTCTGTCTGTCTGTCTGTTTTCGACATACAACTTTGCACAAATGTGCGGAAATTCAAGTCACCACATTCCGTGTAGCACGCGAAGCAAGAGAAGAAAGTACAAGAAAAGCATAATAGAAACAGTGAGCAGAGGTGTGAGACAAAGGAGTAATAAAGAAAAACAAAACAGTTTCATTGAAGATCATAAGTCACAGGGAGTGGATGCATCTGCGCCACTGAGAACGGTTTTGAGCCATGTCACCAATTGTTTCTAACCATAGATTTTTACCGTCCCGAGGACCCCAGTCTGGAAGTCTACACCTTCCTACGTGGCTTAGACCAACTGTTGTGGATTTCATTGACTGATGCCAAGTTTTTGTTTGACCGATTGTCTTGAGCTGTCTATTAACAAGAATTTTAGAAGGTAAAGTTTGTTGATTTAGGCCTTCAAGTTTTGATCAAAGTTTCCCGGGTCCGAATCCTACTCCTTCATGACTCACCTCTTTATGTTAACCACATGAAGTTGAGTAAAACAGTAACACCTACATTAGTCAGTCTACAGTCTAAAACGAATATGTGATGGATTACATCTGCTCTAAGTGACAGAAGAACCAGCAATGCCTTCTGTGATAGTTGGATATACAAAAATAAAAGATAAATAAATAAGGGAAAATCTCATATTGCAGTCTACTATAATTAATATTATTTACGTGAGTTAATAATTAGTCTGTAATAAAGTTAGTTTGTAGGGGCACAGTGAAACAGTATTATTTACTGGATGACACAGTTTCGAAGAAAATTTATCACTGTTCATAACCAAGGTAAACCTAAGACATGAAGTGAGGCATATAAGAGAAGCTTTGAAACTTAATAATTACCCTGATAAATTAGTCAGAATGTATGTAGGGAAATGTGAAAATAAAATAAATATAATGGTAGTAGTGTTGATAGTGATAATAATGATAAAGATAATTATGATAGTAATGACAATATGCTTGTCAAACATACACAGGATAATGACAACACCAATAATAAGGAATCTAAATCATCAGTAGTAGTAATTCCATACAAGGAAGAAACCTCGGAATCCACCTTACGGCGAAGAATTCTTAACGAGGCAGGAATGAAAGTGGCTAGCATTAGAACCACTCACAAGCTCATTTAGAAACAAGCTTTGTTGGTTAAAGGATCAACCCTGTGGAGACTTTAAAACAAAACAATTTAGTTTGTCTAATACCTTGCCTGCAATGAGTGCCAGGTCAGATACGTAGGTCAAACTAGTAGAGCAGGTGCAGTCAGACTAGCCAAACATAAAAACCTAGCAAAATCTAGATTAGTTGATCCGAATAAAATAAGAAATCTGGAGAATAGTTCAGCTATACCACTCACTACATACAATTACACAAAACCATACTATGCGAGGGGATAAGACGACAGTTTTAAAATCTAATGTAACAGCTGGGTGGAGGGAGAGATTGATAACTGACTGAGGCTTTATTTATCGAATCACCTGCAGACACGTGTAATAGAAATGATTCAACACCTTTCCAGCTGGATGTCTGGAAAATTCTACTACCTTAACGACGACAAATAGAAGAGAACAAAAAAAATTATAAAACTCAAGTTTCAAAGTCATGTGATTATAATTGGTGATATGACTATGAACAATAGTATATTGTGTTCGAAACTGTCATCCAGTAAATAATGCTGTTTCACTGTGTGATACATTTGATAAACAAACTAATATGGAATTACATACCACACCACAATGCCCAATTTTTAAACATATATTAGTTTGCAGCGATTTGATGTCTTTCAAGTTTAACCACAGATTGATTGATATCAGTTAGTGAGAGAGGACCGTTGGGAATCAGTTCGGAAAAGTACAGGACACAGTTGTTTTTCTTCCCAGTGCTTCGGATTCATTGGCATCACTTTTACCTACTAGCATTCGAACCAATCAGTGAGGAGTCCACTCGGACGGGAGTGACAACAAATACTCGCTTCTGATGACATTGGCTGATGCCAATCGCTGTAAAATAAATCACGTAATAATAGAAGTTATGGTAGAATTCATTTATGGGTCATTGAATCTGGCGGGTCCAAATGGCTATGAATGAATGTTCTACGAGTGTTTGACTTGTAACTAGGACGGGCTTGGCTATGAGCTTCAAGCTTACTTTCATGCAGCTAACTGACATGAAATCTTTTTGTACGGGATATTTTTTTAAAAAAAAACTTATTTATCTTGTGTGTCTATGTGTTTGTATGTTTTTATTTCAAGGTTCATTACAACGGATCCCTTATGAAATGAAAGATAATGTGCTAAGTGCAAATGTAAGTGATACGTTTATTTTATCCTTTTATATTGTCTTGTGTTGTTGTTGTTGTTGTTAGATTAATCAATTTCTATTGAATTGAAGAAAACTTTCTTTGTGATGACTTCAGCGACTCAGGGATTGACTTCCTATCATTGGGGAATAATCTCGTTGACTTAGGATATGCAGATGATATAGTCCTGCTCCTAAGTGAATACTCTGACAAAATGCAAAGTCTCCTGAACACCTTAAGTTGCAATCTACGAATGTTTGGCATGCGATTTGCTTCCTCCAAATGTAAGATGATGTTACAGGACTGGACTACACTGACTCCTAGCGTAGAAATAGGGAGTGAAGTCGTACAGCTTATTGACCACTTCATTTATTTGGGAAGTTTCATCAACCAATCCCAGAGAGTTGATCGTTGACAGAATCTCAGTACAGATAAAACACAAGGCTCGTTTCGCATTTGATACCCAGCTTACGCTATCTCTAGTTTAGTATACGAGATATCCAGTCGACTGTCGACCAAAGGGCGTGTGTATTGCTCATAAGTTCTCTCCGTCCTCCTCCATTACTGTGAGCGAGACATGGCCATTGAAAGTGGAAGACATGAAAATGCCTGGCTAGCTGTCTTTGATCATAGGTGTGTGCGTTCTATCTCCCATGTGAAGTGGTATAATAAGGTGACCAATATTCACGTTAAGCTTCTCTCGGATACTAGACTAGGTAAGGAGGGGAAATCAATCGATCAGGTTGTGAAGCGACATCGACTGAGATGGTTAGGACATGTGTTACCTACACCCAGCCATCGATCACCTTCCTCGATAAACAATATTAGCCGACATATGATTGATGAGATTGGAAGAGAAATAGTGGTGGTCAAACTAAAACGTGGCTGCATCAGTCAATGAAATCCACAACAGTTCAGTCTACGCCACATAGGGAGGTGAAGACTGCCTGGTGGATTGGGGTCCTCGGGATGGTAGAGAGAGGTTTCGCGTGCGTTTCGGGTTGTGAGGGCGATTGTTACTTCCCGGCTGCCCACACCGTGGAAGTTGGTTGCGTGACCGCAGAGCCCAAGGGACAACTGCTTGTGGCCGGTCACACGCGGCCTGTTTTTGTTCGTTCTCTTTTGTTTGGTGTGCCTCAGTAGCATACTTATCAATCCTGCCCTGTGACACGGCAGCAGGAAGCGCGGTCGTTGTTAATCCGGGCCACGGCCGATCCGGCATGAAATTTTGTGATTTTGTATTGATCATGATGTTGGATTGGGTAGCTGCTTTTTGTTTAACCGCTATCTAAACAACCTGTCTGGCATGGTAGAACCTCAAGAGACATAAGTCTCAGCCAGTATAGCTTGATAGCTCGGGATGGTAAGAACTATTGAAGGCTGGAGACAATAGGTGACATGGCTCAAAATCGTTCTCAATGGCTGGCGCAATTGCATCCACTCCTTGCGATTTATGATATCCAGTGAAACTATACTGTTCTTCGTTGTTACTGTTCCTTTTGTCACATATCCCTGTCTACTGTCTCCAGTTAGCATTTCTTCTACTTTCTTCCTTTGGTTTGTGTGCTACAAGGAGGGAGTGTGGCGACTTGAAGAGCTGCACATCGATGCATCTGAGCCACCACTATTTCTCTTCCAATCTCATCAATCATATGTCGGCTAATATTGTTTATCGAGGAAGGTGATCGATGGCTGGGTATAGGTAACACATGTCCTAACCATCTCAGTCGATGTCGCTTCACAACCTGATCGATTGATTTCCCCTCCTTACCTAGTCTAGTATCCGAGAGAAGCTTAACGTGAATATTGGTCACCTTATTATACCACTTCACATGGGAGATAGAACGCACACACCTATGATCAAAGACAGCTAGCCAGGCATTTTCATGTCTTCCACTTTCAATGGCCATGTCTCGCTCACAGTAATGGAGGAGGACGGAGAGAACTTATGAGCAATACACACGCCCTTTGGTCGACAGTCGACTGGATATCTCGTATACTAAACTAGAGATAGCGTAAGCTGGGTATCAAATGCGAAACGAGCCTTGTGTTTTATCTGTACTGAGATTCTGTCAACGATCAACCCTCTCGGGGTGGCTGATGATGCACCTTCCCAGCAAATAAGTGAATTGGTCAACACGCTCTACACGTTCCATTCAAAGCTCAAATGTCTGGATTTATTGGTCATACATGCTAAAATATCCTATACCTTCATATTTTTCATTAGTACTTCGACTTTCAGGTTTTAGCTACTATTTTCGATTACCTTGACCTTGACTGGTTTGTATTTTTCTTGTCGGCTTGCAATTCATATATTGATCATGCTGACCGACCGATATTAAACTAGACTTCAACATTTCCACATGTTAAAAAAAAGTGACATATATATAACATACAAACAACAAGAAGACATGTTCTCTATCTATCTATCCCTCAATACGATAAATACGATTGTAGAGCTATAGAAGTGAAACTAGCAGATATTGTTTTCTTCACTGCAGTATTCTTCGCGTATATTTTTCACTCATAAATTCTTTCTTCAACACACTTTTAACTGAAGTCATTAGATGGGCGCGTGATTGACTTCCTGTGTATGACTGGATATTGGATACTTTATTTGGACACTAGTCAGTAGATAGTATCATGGGTCTAGTCTTTTGTTTGCTGCAGACTAGATTCTATCAGTGTTAAATTTACGATTTGGCCACTAGGCTGGGTGACTTGAGATCATGGGGCACTCTGAATTGTTATTATTATTATTATTATTAGATGGTTGGAGACAGTCGGCAGGAAGCCCTGTCTCGACCTAGGTTTCGTGCTTGTTGACACCCACCCGTCTGCAAGGCTTATTATCTACAATCTTGAAGGAACTCATCTCGCTTCTGACATTCGAACCCATATCATCTAGCGTTTCAGTCAGCGTTATTCGGACTCGCGGTTGACTTCTTGTAAGACTGTATTAGATACTGTGATTGGACACTTGTTAGTAACTAAGTATCATTGCGGACTTGACTGATAGAATTCAGTCCTCACCAAAATGGTCCAGACGCTTACCAATAAAGTGTTCAGTCAAATATTACGAAAGTCATATTGTAACATTGCAGGAAGGTAAGAGGATTGATAACGGACCTTTATCAAAGAAAAGAACACATCATATTTATACATCCTTATTATTATTATTGTATCCTTTAGTTCCTAGAGGAACATAGGGCTTCAGCTGCGCACCTCCATTGACTTCGGTTTTCTGACAACTTTTTCACCCTGCTCCAGGTCTGTCCACATGCTTTCATCTCCTCCTCGCATGACCTCCTCCAAGTCACCCTTGGACGACCAACTCGCCGCCTCCCTTTCGGGTTCCACTCGAGGGCTTGTCTAGTGATGTCACTTGATGGTTTCCTCAGCGTATGGCCAATCCATCTCCATTTCTTTCTGCCTATTTGTTTCACAATCGGTTCCTGATTGGTTCGCTCCCAGAGATCCCTGTTGCTGATCTTTTCTGGCCATCTGATCTTGAGTATTGAGCGGAGACAGTTGTTAATGAAGGTTTGAAGTTTGTTTGAGATGCTCTTTATGACTCGCCAAGTCTCTGATCCGTATAGTAGCACTGACTTCACATTGGAGTTGAAAATCCGGATCTTATTTTTGATGCTGAGTGCTGTTGACCTCCACACAGATTTGAGAGTAATGAAAGCTTGTCTTGCTTTTCCGATTCTGGCTTTGATGTCCTCGTCAGTTCCGCCTGTAGTTGAGACGATGCTTCCCAGGTAGGTGAAGGAGGTTGTTTCTTTCAGGTTCTTCCCATTTATGCTTATTGTTGTCTGTTGTTGTTGTTGCTGTTGATGTTGGCTAGGAATCTTCATCATCTCTGTTTTATCTATGTTCACGTGAAGTCCTATCTTTGATGCTTCTTCTGCCAACTTGTTACTTTTCACTTGCATATCTTCCAGTTTATGGGAAATCAGACATATATCATCGGCGAAATCCAGATCCTCCAAGTCTTTTGTGTCAGTCCATTTTATGCCTGTTCCCTCGTTGGTTGCCGTTGTCTGTCGCATTATCCAATCAATTGCAATCAGGAAGATCATTGGTGATAGTAGACAGCCTTGCCTCACTCCCGTCCTCACTTCGAAGGCTTCCGTAAGTTTCCCGTTGTGGATTACTTGGCATGCAGCATTGTCGTATAACTGTTGGATGAGGTGTATAATTGTCGATGGGACCCCGTAGTAGCGAAGTAGTTTCCAAATGACCTCTCGATCGACGCTGTCGAAGGCCTTTTCAAAGTCGATGAAGTTGAGATAGAGAGGTGACTGCCATTCCAAGCTTTGTTCAATGATGATCCGTAGAGTGGCGATTTGATCAATACATGATTTGTTTCTCCTGAATCCAGCCTGTTCCGGACGAAGTTTTTCATCTAGGGCTTGTTTGATTCTCTCCAGGATGATGCGACTTAGTATCTTGCTTGGAATGGACAGAAGCATAATTCCACGCCAGTTTTTACATTGACTTAAGTCTCCTTTCTTTGGAAGTTTGAATAAGTAACCGTTCTTCCAATCCTCGGGTACTTTGCCCTCTTTCCACACCTTCTCCAGCAGTGGTGTCATCAAGTCCGCTGTTGTCTCTGGGTCTATTTTCAAAGCCTCTGCTGGGATTCCATCTGGTCCCGGTGTTTTCCCAGCTTTAAGCATCTTGATTGCATTCAGGACTTCTGATTTCGTCGGGGGGTCAGTGTTCACTGGTAGTTCTGCTTCCGTTGTTGGTATTGCTGGACGTGTTGTAGGTGGCGGACGATTTAGAAGTCTTTTGAAGTGTTCAACCCAGTGCTTTCTCTGTTCCACCTCTTTGGTGATTGACTTTCCATTGTCGTCCTTTATTGGCTTAATCTGTGTCGAACGTTTGCCCGAAAGGTTCCTAGTTGTTTGGTAGAGTGTGGCGAGGTCTCCTTTGCCTGCAGCTTGTTCTGCTTCGTTTGCCATGGTTTCATAATATTTTCTTTTGTCTTCCCTGGCACTTTTCTTCACTCTTTTGTTCAGTGTATTGTAGCTTGCATTCAGCTCCTGTTTTTGTTGCTCGTCAGTGCACTGGATAATCTTTTGCTTCACTGTCCTTCTCTCTTCTATTAGTTTCCAAGTGTCCGTAGTGAGCCACTGTTTGTCCTGTCTCTTTTTTCTGCCTAGAATTTCTATGCAGGTTTGGCTCCACACCGTTTTCAAGTTGTTCCAGTGCTTTTCGACGCCGACCTTTTCGCTGGTGTTGATTTGTGTCTCGGCTTTGTCCTTTATGCTTGCAATGAAGATGTCCTTTGTAGCCTGGTCCTTCAGCTTTTGAGTGTTGAACTTGGCTTGTGGTCTATCTGCAGCTCCTGATTCCCTGAAAGCTTTTAATTTGATTTGGATTGTCCCTTGTACGAGATAGTGGTCTGAGCCAACGTCTGCTCCTCTTCTTGCTTTTGTGTCCAGTAGGCTGCGCCTCCACTTCCTTGAGATTGAGATGAAGTCGATTTGGTTTTTGGTTTGCCCGTCTGGTGACACCCATGTAGCCTTGTGGATATCTTTGTGCTTGTATACACTGCCACCAATCACCAGTTCGTTGAAGGCGCAGAAGTCGGCGAAGAGTTCTCCGTTTTCATTCATTTCTCCTAGAGCTTCTCTACCCATGATGAGTTCCCTTCCCGTATTGTCTGGTCCCAGTTTGGCGTTCATGTCTCCCATTAGTATTTTCATGTCGCCAGCTGGAGTATTGTCCATTGTTGCCTGTAGTTGCCTGTAGAATTCTTCTTTCTTCTCGAGGTCTGCGTTGTTTGTGGGTGCATAACATTGTATGATTGACACTTTCCTTCCTTTGGAGTTGAACCTGGCGGTCATTATCCTGGACGAAATCGCCTCCCATTGTATCAGGGCTTTCGTTGCCGTTGGTGACATCATGATAGCCACGCCCTCGGTGTGCGTGTGGTTATCTTCTGGGTGACCGGAGTAGATCACTGACTCACCTGTTGACAATTTGGTGAGTCCACTCCCATTCCATCTGCTCTCACATATTCCCAGCACTTGTATTCCGTATCTTTTCATCTCGTTGGCGATCTGGGCAGCTTTCCCGTCTCGTACATAGTTCGGACGTTCCATGTTCCTACACAGACTTTTTCTTTTGGTGCAAGAGGTTCATAGCTGAAGTTCTGTAGCAATTTTGTTTACAGGGTGGGGTTGCTAGCCTCACGCCTGAGAAAAGAATGATTACATTAAGTAAAAGTTTAGAGAGAAGCAACTTTTTGGGTTGCTCCCCTCAAAATCAGAAAATAACGGACAAACAATGAGAACAACATCAACAAAGGAAACAGTTCACAGAAAAAAGGGCAAAAAGCGACGACAACTATACAATAAGACAACATGCAATATAGTTCAGTACAGTTAACTAAAATGATATCTTAACCATAAACTCACTGACACGGCGAAACGTTCAGAAAAATCTTGTTTTGATTTTCTTAACACGCTGGGATTAATTTAAATAATTTATAACTTATGTATTCAGTCAGCAGCAGCCATTGACTTAAAACGTTGATTTCAATTTTTGCCCGTTTCCTATCATTCTGCATCACGCCACAATATTATTCTTGTTTATAAATCAAAGAGTGTAAAACACTCATATACGCCAGGATATGGTTTGTTTCTTATAAAAGTCTTTCTTATAAGAGAGATTTCCTACCTATATAAGAGCAGTAAATCTCTGAAAGTTTGGGTGTACACTAGTGTTGTCAGTACAAATGACGTTGAAGTTGTTGCTTGTGTGTGTGTGGGTGCGTGTGTGCGAAGGGAGATAGAATAGGATAAAAGAAGTGCAAATTTATAACACCATCGATTTTTATAAAAATTTATTGACTAGATAGGCTGTCACTTTATGAGCCTTAGTGAGGGAGGTGCCTCTTCAGTACAATCCGACGAATATGCACTGAAGACACACTTGATGAGGAAGAAAAACAGTTGACACAAACTCTGGTTGATAATAATTATCCAGACAAATTCATTAGGTAATCAGAACACCAAGACCCACTCTCCAACTGGTTGCTAAGAAAGACGTGTACATCAAACTACCCTATAAGGGGCATTATAGCAGCTTGATAACTAAACAAACATCGAACGCTGTTGTGGTTAAAAAGACTTTCTATGCAGCTAATGTCATATTTGAGAATGTGAAGCCGATATATCCACCTAAGCCCTTAGAACATGCGAAAAATGATGTCACATCCCACTGCAGTTACCAATTTCAATGTAAGTTTGGCCACACACACACACACACACACATCGGTATCTGCAAGTATAAGCTGGCTTCAGAGCATATTCCTCAATGGCTCCAGAAGTAACTACAATCTCCAGAACCCGGTGATTGTAAGAACAGCAGACGTAGCTCCTCAATTGGGAAATATATTATAGATACAGGACATAAAATTGGTGTTTAAACATGTATAGAGAACGTGTTTGGAGTGTATCCTAAAGTTTGTGGAAGCCATCTAGCTAGAAAGTTTAAACCATCTTTATGCGTTCAAAGCGACAATTCGTCATCACACTAAACCCACCTTCCTTGGTAAACTTTGTTTTGATATCAGTCAGGGTAGATGTACTATTACCTCTGTATTTGGTTTAGTGTTCTTTATTGTTGTTTTGACCTTCAATATAGCGACCTTTTAACTTGACCTAAGCCTATTTTCTCACCTTCTTACTCTTGATTAATTTCATACGTATATTACTAAGACAAGTTCGTGGCTGTGTGATCAGATAGCTGGAGATGTATGGCGCAAATATAGCATTACACGATTGAGACAAAATACGTCTTCTTGTTGCTTTGTTTAAATTCATGGAGGTTTTATTAGCCCATAACACAAAAATCAAGATTCTATGAACTTGAGAGATGGAAATTAGACATGGAAAACTACTTATCACCATATTTTCATGTTACATTTTCATTTTATTACTCTTGATTTTGGAGAAAATAAATCCTGAAGTGTTGGTTTGCAGGGGTTTTGATTTGATGTGTTACAGATTGGATGATCAGGTGACATCATTTACAGAGTACTGAACATCTGTTTTTTATCCCATTTCGGGATCCTTCAGCAGTACACATCTACCGGAATTTGAACCTGAGACTTTCTGGTTGTAAGGCGAGCTCGTAGATCACTCAGTTAGTGAGACTAAATAGAATAGCCTATGGATTCTCAATTCTGCGAATTCGCGAGGGTGTATGCGTGTGTATGTGTGTTATCGGCGGGTAACTCTCGTCTCACTTGACTTGGTCTACCCCGCTGGTGACGACTTTTCTCAATAGAACTTCAAGTAACTTCCTGTACTATACAGGAAGTTACTAGTGAGCATTAGAGTGTAACTTTCATGTGTTGGTTTTGTGGAATTTGTTTGGTTATAGGTTACAGTATGCAACTATAAATTGTAAATGCCTTATTGGCGTTCGGTGAGAAAAGTTAGGGCATAAGATTTGATGTGTGTTACATCTGCTTACAAAACACCCTATCCAAAATATAATCATAGTAACTATTATTTCATAGAGAATTCGAAATTTAAAGTTTAACTAACTATTTGAGTAAATCTCTCTTTCCAAAGAATCTGATTGTGAAATGTGAAAATTACTCGTTTTTTTAAAAAAAAATTCAATTTTACTTTCACTCCTGTTGATTGATTCGACCGAAATGTTCGACCTCTGTGAATGCATATAATTTTGTGGAGGCTAACTGACTGGCACTAAAATTCAAGATGCTCATCTTCATCCTATTTCGGACACGTCAGCTGGATTTGCCTGAATTCCCCAAAGGGAATGAGTATTAGTGTTCTCACTGAAACTCGAATCCACTGCCAATTGTTTCAAATGTCAAAGCGTTATCCACACTAGACCACTCAAGGCCGTGAAAGACGTGAACGTTTTGGTGTTTGCATTGATGGGTACTGGTACTGGGTTGGAATGCCAGTGTGTATGTGTGTGTGTGGGGGGGGTGGAAGCTATCACTCACTGGAGAACACGGGTACATCTAGCTGACGAGTCTCATATAGGACGAAATGCACTTGCCGGATTCCACTGCTAATCAGTCATCATCATTCACCGAATTACCTGAAATGTAAAAATGTCTGTAGGTAATATTGTTGAATAAATGTCTGATTATTGGAATTTGAATATATATTTTTGAAATATTTAAAATAACTTTGAAATGAGTTTTCTTTATACATATGTATTATATATATATACATCAATGCAGTTTACCGTACGTTTCCCGAATGTATCTGAAGAAGGCTTATACAGTCTTTATTTTCATAATTGTGCTGAATTAAATGTAGAATCTGGTAAACGACATTTAGTCAATTTAACAGTAAGTGCTTAAAAAGTAACACTTTTGTAATGGTTTTTGTTTTTTTGTCTTTCTTTGCATAACTTTATATATTTATTTATGTAATTACCAGGTCTCAATCAATATATTCTTCATTATTATTAAAAATTACTCATCAGAAGTATGTTGTCACACTTTTACGGCTTGCTAATAACAGCTTCTAGAATTAATAATAATAATAATAATATGACAAAATAGAGGGGAAGTTCGGATATGAAAATATTGTAGTGTAAATGGAGATTAAGAAAAAGTTAAAAATACCATGAATAAACAGGAAGTTTAGATAAGAAAGACGATGGGATGGTCATAACTAAGAAAATTACTTGTTTATGATGGTCATGGCAGGGACAAGGGTTGAACGTATTTCTTTTGGATACATAGCGTGGGTTTGAGCTTTTGGATAGCTAGTGCCTCGGCTATGCCCAGATATCTTAATTTCACTCCCTTCGGTAGGCTTGATCGAATCTTGTATATTATTTTGAAGGATGTTTCGAGTGGCGCTGAATGTCCCGCATTGACCAGAAGTTCAGTCACTGAACTATATACACGTCTTCTATCTCCCTTTACTAGTCAGACTGGATAGTGTTGACGAGCGCGTTTTTCAAGTTGGCGCATGGTACGGCCGATGTACTCAGCTCCGCATGAGCAAGTAAACTGGTATATGTCCGTTGAAGTGGCCTAATGCGAAAGCTTGTCCTTGGCTGTCTGCCTGAACAGTTTCTTGCAGGAAAACATCAGTCGTAGGCTTGTGGCGAAGTATGTTTTCCTCAGGGATCTGCAGAGGCGTTTACGAAGGATTTCTGCTTCAATGTTACCTTTGAATTCTAGATTAAGCAGAAGTATCTTCTTCGGCACAGATTAGACTTGTTCGGAAGTCTTCTTTGATTTGAGATTCTTGTCTATGAACCTGGGCGGAAAACCGTTTTCCATCAGGGTTCTTCGGAGATTACACAGTTCTTCGTCAATCGCTTCCTCGCTGCATATCTTCCGAATCCTCGAGAAAAGAGCGTATATCAGGTTCCTCTTTCTGCTTAGGGGCACGAGGCTTTGCAAGTTGATGAATTGTCCATTCCATGTAGGCTTTTTGTATATGGACATCTTCAGTGAGTTACTGGTGGAAATTATTCTGGAACTTTCCCATCCATTTGCTTTAAATACACGAATGTATAGACTTGTTGATGACTTCGTCGAAAAGAAAATTTTCTTCGCTGCAACCGTCTTCTTAGTGAATCTAAGGCCATAAAAAGATTTAAATTAGGAAGTAAGATAATGTAAAGGCTGGGTAAGGTGACACATTTGGTGAACCGACAGCAGTTTCAAAATAGCATAAAATGCTCATTAGTGAATAAAGAATATACTTTTCGATAATTTCTTCATCTGGTTGCGTAACAATATGTCCACAGTAATTAAAAAAATTAACAACTATAGTGTTGTTTTAAATAACACTGAATCAATCGTATTATGGGACGATTACATTTCAAAAGCATCATTAAGAAAGAGAGAGAGAGAGATAAGATTCATTACATATAACACTAAGCGGACTGAATGTCACATAGATTAAGGGAAGTAACACAAAATTTACTAAGTTATCGGTTTGACAGCAAACCAGAATAGCAGTAGTGGCCTCCCCTCTGGATATGTTTCTTTTTGCACCCAGAGCTCCGGTTGATTTAGCCGAATTGCAATGGCTACTTCTCTGTTTGCAGTGTTCATCATCTGGAGGCCTTTGGTAACTTATTTGATGCCTGATGATTGATAGGGGAAGATTCTTCCTTTAATGTTATCTAGCTTTATGTCCTGTTTTTACGAGGGGAAGCTACACTGGGAGGTGTTCGCAAGCACGAAAAACTAAGTTTCTGGAGCGACGGCCGATATAAGTGGCTCCAGAGGAATAGTTGAATTGCTAGATACAATTAGACGTGCCTAGTCTAGCTGCTTCGTCTTTGAGTTTCAGAATGACGACTGGAACCCTGAGTGGAAAAGAAACCGGTCCAGATGTTTAGTTCTAGTTTGTGACTCTTTTGCAGTATGCATCCACCGGGATTCGAACCCACAACCTTCCGATTGCCAGGGGGTACTCGCAGACCATACATCCACTGGGACCCGACTCAATCAATCAGCGCATGAATTGGAAATTCGCCGAATTCGTGATTTCAGTGTGACCACCGGTCAGTGTTAGCCGCAAGTATTTATCCTCACTTCTGACCGGGTGTAGCCCACCGGTTACAACTTCTCATCACTAGAACTCCAGTCAACTTCGTTTAATAGCCAGTGACACTAGCGAACATCAGATGAATTTTCAAGAGTTAATTAATAGGAATTTGATTTGTCTCATGCTTAACCACTTATGGATATCAGTTAGAGAACCATTGAAAACCAGCATTGAATTATTGGATATAGCTGTTTCGTCCTTGTTTGCGACTCTTCAATGGTACGCATTCGCTAGGTTTTAATTATCTTTGTGTAATCGTCTAATGGGAATAGATGTGTATTACAGTTAACGATGACTCAGTATTTAGCATTTATTGTGTATGATTCTGAAAACTTCGCCACAAAAGCTAAGAAATCAGAAAAATTAGAAAATCGTTAGGATTTGTATAAACATTACTGAGTGACATTGCTCCCCTTCTAAACCCTCGAGTAGAAGCCGAATAGCAGGAAATCATATAAGGAGGAGATAAGAGCTTATGAAGAATCTTGGAGTGGGAAACAGGACGTGAAATGGAAAAGTATTGTTTGTTGAAGCGATATGTTCCACTTAGAACCTAAGGGATGTAGTGATAATAATAATAATAATGCAGTCTGAACATCATAATTGTAAAAAGCAGTTTTAAATACAGTTTTCATGAAGTAATAAGTTAGACATCTGGACTTTGCCGATGATATATATGTCTGATTTCCCACAAACTGGAAGATATGCAAGTGAAAAGCAACAAGTTGGCGATAGAAGAAGCATCAAAGATAGGACTTCACATCAGGTGAATATGGAGAAAACAGAGGTGATAAAGATTACTGGCCAACACCACCACCAACAACAACAGACAACAATCAGCCAGCATAAATAGGAGGAATATGAAAGAGGCAACCGCCTTCACCTACGTACCTGGGAAGCATCGTTTCAATTACAGGCGGACAGAACTGATGGGGATATGAAAACGAGGATCGGGAAAGCAAAACAAGCTTTTATTTGTTTCAAGTTTGTATGGAAATCAACAGCACTCAGCATGAAAAATAATCTAAGGATTTTCAACTCCAATGTGAAGTCAGTGCTGCTTACTATACGGATCAGAAACTTGGCGCTTCATAAAGAGCACCTCAAACGTACTGTTCACCTTCATCAACAGCTGTCTTCGCTCAAGACCAAGTGTCCAGAAAACATCAGCAGCAGAGAGGGATCTCTGTCAAGGAGCGAACCAACCCTGGAGGAACCGACTGTGCAACAAATAAGCAGGAAGAAATGTTAAAGAATTGGTCATACTCTGAGGAAACCATCATGTGACATCGCATGCCAGGCTCCCTCTCTCGAGTGGAACCCGGACGGGAAGTGGCGAGTTGGTCGTCAGTGTGCGGGTGACATGGGGGAGGAGGTCATATGAAGAGGAGATGAAAGCATGTGGGCAGATGTGGATCCAGGTGAAAACGTTCTCAGAGAACCGAATGCAATGGAGACGTGCGGCTGAATCCCTATGTTCCCCTAGGAACTAAAGGAAACAATGATAATAAGTTAGACTAAACGAGCACTTTTTTGTTATTCATGAATACATGTATAATTAAGCATTTGTGAGGTATTTTGTCAAATAGTCAAAACTCACACAACTTAGCGGAGTTGAAACAAGGTTTACCACCTTGACGACACTGTAAAGAAGTAGTTGACAAAGAAATAAATAGCATGTTTGTTGCCATTTCATGTAAGCTAACTGTCCGCTTTTTCCGCCTCTCTCTCTCTCCCTGCTTCTGTCTTTTTTCTTAGCTAAAAATGGTTGAGAAGAATGTGGATAGTTATCTGTCTGCTGGTCAACACCCTTTGCCTATGCTGTATGCCATCTCTTGTTTGGCTTACTTAGCCTTAAGTATATTTTGGTTTGTTTATCTTCGTGTATCCAAGTAAGATTATGTATATGGTCTTATATTGTTTCCGTCTATCTCTGAATTAACTAATTTAATTCCATTTCTATGCTATGGATTGTTTTCATTGTGTGTAAATAGGTATTTGTTATACTCAATTCAATTGTAAATTGATTAAAATGTCTTAGTTGTAGAATGTATATATATATATATATATATATATATATATATATATATATATATACTAGTATAGAGTTGGTGATAATGATGACGAGGAACCAGTTGAAAAAAGAAGGAATATATTTCTTTTTACGAGTTGATCACGGATTGATATCAGTTAGAGAACTATTGAAAACCAGCTGGGAGTACTGGACAGCTGCTGTTTCATCCTAGTTTGGGAATCATCGCCATTACGTACCCACCACACCGGGTTCGAATCCAGGACCTTCCGGTTACAGGTCAAGCTAACTCCGTACACCATTCAGCCAATGGGACCCGATTTAATGGCCAGCCTATGAATTCTAACTTCTACCAATTCGTGATTTAGCGCGACCCCAACCAATGTCGTCGGTGGGACATCCATCCTCATACTTGACTGGATACACCTCACTGGTCACGACTTGTCACTAGAACTCCTGAAAACTCCATCCTGTAGCAAGTCATTAGCGAGTGTCAGATTAATTGGGGTCGAGCTAAATCACGAATTGGTAGAAGTTAGAATTCATGCACTGGCCATTGAATCGGGACCTAGTGGCTGGATGGTATACGAGCTTGCCCTGTAACCGGAACGTCTTAGATTCTAACCCTGGTGAGTGGGGTGTGTACTGTCGATGATTCCGAAACTGGGATGAAACAGCTGTCCAGTAATCCAGTGCTGGTTTTCAATGTGATTCTCTAACTGATATCAATCCGTGATCAACTCGTAAAAGTCAAATCTAATCCTTACAAACCAACTAAAGAAAATATATTTCTTTTGCTCAATTTATTGTTTGTTTGTTCACATTTGTGTGTATTTGTCTAAAAAAGAAAGCATTTTGTGTGTGTTTGTGTGTGTATACATACAGGTATTTGTGTTAATTCGTAAAATGTTTACCACTTTTTTCACCTTAGGAATTCAGTTTTTCGAATTCACTATCTGATGTTGGCTGTTGTTCTAATTAAATCTGTATCACTCGGATTTCATAGCGTAAGTCAATATTTATTATTATTATTCAAAATATACTTTTATTTAACAGTTTACTAAAGGTAATTAGTTATATATATATATATATATATATATATATATATATATATATATACTTTCGCTCACTTGTCAACTTGTAGTTCACATGTTCAAAGTGCTTTCCACTCAGATTAAATTTCAGTATTGCTCAGTAGTTCGCTCATGTAGCTAACTTAGAAATCGGCTGTGGTTTCAACTGATTCCACTCTCTTAGGTAGGTCAAACAGACGTACATCACCCATGAATAAGGTTGGCCCCAAAACGAGGGAAATGACCGTCTGGTGCTCAGATCACCGTGATCTGATTGACCAGGAAGCACTACTAGTCGTTGACATAAGTGGTGGTTTACATTTACTTATATCAGTCAATAAGTAGTATATTATTTTAATGCAATTAACAATGATTGACAGACAGACAAATCATCACCGTAATAATAATAATAATGTATGCAGATGCCAGTATTATTAAACGTAAAGTCTATTTTGTCATGGATTACCGCCATATTTTTGTTTTAAAGTTGATTTTATTGACTCCTCCTCCTCCTCTTTCAGCCTTAAAAATGTTAGAAAATTCTTTCCCCCCTTCATATTTCAGATAAACTACTATGTGATTGGAAAGCATGGAGCTCATGAAGAAAGTTGGGCAATTATGTACTACATTACTCATATGTATGTGTTGGGTTTGTGTGTTAATTCTCCTGTTTTTTGTTTTAAAAGTTCATCTCTAAATTTCAGTATTTGTATTTTTCTAAAGTTATTATTATTATTATTATTAGTGGTATAAATACCGTCCAACCTATAATCTATCTCTTCGTACATAAAACGCCTGTCCCACATCACTAAGCTTAGAGCAGAAGAAAATAATAACGTCGTATTTCGTGGAATTGTCCACTTTAAAGTTAAGGAAAATGGAGTATAATCACAAAATGACTTCTGTTAGCGAACCATTCAAAGTCAAGGATTGCTGGTTAGCTAGCTGTTTTCTCATAGTTTGGGATTGTTGAGCAGTACTCCTCAGGTTGCATGTGTGTGTGAAGACAAATACTTGCCGATGACATTGACTGTCGGTCGCATAATCTAATGTAATGTAGAATTCATGGGCTATGGAATTCCATCTGAATGACTAAATGGTCAATAAGCTCTTCTTGTGACCTTAAGACCTAAGTTTGATCCCTGATGGGGTTCCAAACAAGGATGATAAAGCTATCCAGTGGCTCCGTAAATGAAGTTGGTTCGTGATTATTTTGTTATATGAAAAGAAGAAGACGTTCAGCGAAGACACTCTTTTCGGCGAATTCATTCACATAGTTCACATGTGTAACCGTCATGAAAGTGTTTTTTCTCTCGAAAAAGTGCCAGCACAATAGATTAGACAGAAAAAAAGGATCTGCCGCATCTGAATTCTGATTGGGCGTTCAAGGTCACTGCTGTTTTGGCTATGATCGTTTAACTTTGCTATAATTTTTGTTTTCTATCCTTTTTTTTACTTTTTCTATTTCAGTATTCGAGGTGCACTCCTGTTTATCACAATCTTGTTGATTGGTGCTGGTTGGGCTTTCATTAAACACATGTTAACACCACGTGAACGTAATGTATTCCTTATTGTTATACCTCTTCAAGTAAGTAACGACCAGTTGTTCATTGATCCTAAATTGTGTCTATATGTGTTCATCAGTTTTGTGTGTGATTATATTCTTGTAGTGGAATAATTTTGATGTATCACGACGCTAGGCTGTGATCTGAACTCAGGAAAAACTGATGTTTGCATCCTACTGTATGTATTTTTCTTATTCCTTTACTTTCCCAGTGGAACATAGTGAGGGCTTCAAGCCTCTCGGGCTTTGATGTTTCGGTAGCGGTGGTATTTCTTTTTATGGGATAGGGTTGTTAGCCAGCCTCATGCTCAACCTTCCCCTCTTTACGAGTCTTATTACTGGTTTAGCGAGGTAATGTAGGAGTGCGTCGGTGACCGAGGTTCGAACCACCTGCCTGGTTGGCAAACATCCTATCACTGTTTTGATTGAACACTGGTAACTAGTGTGATGTGTCTGGCTAGTCCTTTCTTTGGTGCAAAGTGAGTTCTATTAGTTAGGTTTGCAATGTGGCCACCATACCATTGAGTAGCTCACCATCACGGTGCACATTAATTTGATGATATCAGATGGTTGGAGGCAATCGGCCACAGGAAGCCTTGGACCTACGTTTCGTGCTAGTTGGCACTCTCCAGTCAGGAAGGCGTATGTGGGTATCAGCGGGGGCATGAGTTCCTCCAAGGTGACTGCAGATACGCCTTGCTGATGAGTGCCAACTAGCACGAAACCTAGGTCCAAGGCTTCCTGCCGATTGATTGCCTCCAACTATCTAATATCAATAAATTCTACCACTGTGCCACCGACGCACTACTATATTATGTATAGCTGGTCAAAACTACCTTGAGACACATTCACAGTCGTAAAACGCACGTATGACAGCAAAAGGAGGTCTATTCGCCGTAAATTCTCTGGTTCTGTTCAACAACTGCAATAATCATATCAGAAACTCAAAATTATACCTCAACAATAGTGCCCGTGAGTGAGCTAGATAAGTTTCTAGTGCAAAACAAGCAACTGTAGAACAAAATTAGTTGACCAAAATTCAACCGTAGGAAGTACCGAAGAATCATGTAGAATATTTTCAACGAGGTATGGGATCAAAAACTTTGTCCACAAGAATCACACACCAACGCTTCTCACAGTCAGTCCAAGATCAGGATGACCTTGGTTCAATTAAACCAACTCACATCGTAACACAACACATTATCAATGTGGTCCACCTATTGAGACCTGGTAGGACCGAGCGAGGGTGGGTAGACTCTAGTCTTCCTCTAGAAATACTCTTATGTGGCTACGCTTCATAGCCTCTGCAAGGTAAGTCCTATCCACTACGGTGGGCGGGCACTAATAATCAGGCTGGTGGACATGAATGTCTACCTGGGACGTGATGAGAAACCCTTATTCCAAACCTGTGGTTTATGAACCTGTATTGGACACCGGAAACCATTGGAACGTAGCTTCTAACGCTGTTTCACTCCACTGCCTTGTTGATCAGATTTCAGACCGAAGGCTGAGGTTGAACGGTTCTTTAAGATAACCATCTGTTTCAGTTTGGGCACCTAGGTAGTGTCCTAGCCTTTTGCACAAACAATGTGAGACAACAATTCATGAGAGACTGTAATTATGCGCCTACTATTACGAAGAACTACCACCAAATGCATATATAGATCATTAATTTGACCGTGGAAAATGATAATACTTAATAAATTTCAATCACCCATGAAAATGGATGGCTCTTGAACTTTGAACCTATAACGTAAAGTGGCTATGAGCTTGACCTAAAGAGGCTGAGGGCTTGTTTCAGATGTAAGGCTACCTGAGGCAACCACAGGTTCTGCTTGTCTGACTGACTGGCTGTTTGCGACATAGAACTTTGCGCCAATGTGCAGCAGTTTAAGTCGCCATTTTCCCTCCATGTAACACACATAGCAAGAGAAGAAAGTAGAAGAAATGCAAAATAGAGACAGTAGAGATATGAAAATAGTACTACAGAAGAACAACATAGTTTTATTGCGAATCATATGTAACAAGGACTGGATGCATTTGCACCATTGAGAACGACTTTGCGTCATATCACCGATTGTATCCAACCTTCATTAGTTTTACCATCCTAGACACCCCAATCCGGCAGGCAGTCTACACCTTCCTACGTGACTTGCTGGCTTAAACTAAGTGTTGTGAATTTCATTGACTGGTGCCATGTTTTGGTTTGACCGCTACAAGCGCTTTTAGTGCCTGACCCTGTTGGTTAACATCGCCCGTCGGTCGACGAAGGCGATGATTATGCACACGTTACGCATGTCGTAACCATCTCAATCGATGCAGCTGCTTCACAACCTCATCGACTGATTTCCCCTCCTTACCTAGTCTAGAACTCGACAGAAGCCTACCCTCAATATTGCACACCTTATTATGCCACTTCACATGGAAGATAGAATGCAGACACCTATGATGAAAGACAGCTAGTCAGGCGTTTTCATGTCTTCCACTTTCAATGGCCATGTCTCACTCACAGCCTTTAAGGAGGATGGCGTGGGCTGATGAGTCGTACACCAGCCCTTTGGTCGACAGCCTACCAGATATCACGTCTGCGCCAGAGACGGCTTAAATTGGCATATGCGAAACGAGCCTTCTGTATCCGTTCTGAGATTTTGTCAGCGATCAACCCGTTGTCACTGGCTGATGCAATTTCCCAAATAAGTGAGGTGGTCAATAGGAGCCTATTGACCACTTCACTCTCTATTTCTTAGCTAGGAGGAAGTCAGTGTAGTCCAGTCCTGTAGCATCATCTTTCATTTGGTGGGAGCGAATCGCACGCGAAACATTCATAGATTGCAGCTCAAGGTGTTCAGAAGACTCTGTATTTTCTCAACGTCTTCACCTGGAAGGACAGACTACATCATCTGCATATTTTAAGGTTCAGGCAGACATCGGTGGTGAGAACTTTGGATGCTGAAGTAATAAAGGCGTTCTATGGCTATAGCAGTTTGTCCATGGTGCGCTAAACATTAAATTATACTATTAGTATTTCAATGTATCCATCAAATGTGCTGAGTAACCCAAGCGGCGTCTCATCAATATCTGCTTCTGAAATAATATCAAGTTTTAAATGTTTTCAGTGCCTATATGTATAGATATTTGTTTTAATCATAATTTACTTACTCAGATATTAGCCAACATTGCTACTGTAATTATTGAAGAGTCTGAAGCCGGCGCAGCTCGTTATGCTACATGGAAGGAGATATTCATCTTTGTTGACTTAGCTTGTTGTGGTGCAATTCTATTCCCCGTTGTCTGGTCAATTCGACATTTGAAGACAGCATCACAAACTGATGGCAAGGCAGCTATAAATCTTCGCAATTTACGACTATTTCGTCACTTTTATATTCTGGTAATTGGTGAAATGTATATTTTTTTTATCATTTTTTTTAAACAAACAAACTAACATCACGTTAGTGAGGCGAATAGCTCTCGTCTGTTACAGTCATCCTTACTGTATAGTCGTTTTGTAGTGTGAGTAGAGTAGTATTTAAGCCAACCAGATATATTAGTAGGGATACATGGTGTGTGTTATTTGAATTTGAGTTATTTCTGTCTGTCTGTCTGTTTCCGACATAGAACTTCGCACCGATGTGCGGCAGTTCAAGTCGCCATACTCCCTCCATGTAGCACACAAAGCAAGAGAAGAAAAAAGAAGAAATGATTAATAGAGACAGTAAACATAGGTGTGAGACAAAGGAATAGTAATAACGAAGAACAATAGAGTTTCATTGGAAATCATAAGTCACAAGGAGTGGATACATGTGCGCCAGCCAGCCATTGAGAACGATTTTGAGCCATATCACCAATTGTTTCCAACCATTGGTTTTTACCGTCCCGAGAACTCCAACCAGGAAGTCTACACCTTCCTACGTAACTGGCTTAAACTAACTGTTGTAGATTTCATTGACTGGTGCCATGTTTTGGTTTGACGGTCGCTAGCTCTTCTCCAGCCTGACCCTATGTCAGCTAACATTGCCTGTTGTCGAGGAAGGCGATGGCTAGGCTAGGTATACGTAATACATTTCCTAACCATCTCAGTCGATGTAATTTTACAGCCTCGTCGATTGATTTCGCCTCCTTACCTATCACTCGTCGCCTAACCTACCAGTTGTCCTCTGTGCCCCATTATCTCTTATCTCGTTTATAATTAGTTTAGTGTTATTCTTGATTACGTAACCTGTTTATTTGTATGTTTAACCGATTGAGTCTGTGTACAAAGATTTATCTTTCTTCATTTTAAAGAAGATGAACAGCAAAATACGCACTGTTGAAATTTTGATGGTGAAACGAAGTGAAGAAGCCTTTTGCTGTTGTTATATATAAGGCTAGAAATCAATATTCAAAATGGTGTGAAGAATTGTCAGTCTACAAGGCAAGACAATGTGGACTCTTCATCAGTACGCGCCCGCCGTCAGGGTTCGAACCGTTAACCTTCTGGTTACAAGGAAATCTCGTAGACCAGTAAGCCACTGGGACCCGGTCCCATGACCGGGTGCATGAATTCTAACTTCTGCCGAGTATTCACGACATAGCGCGACCATTTCGCAATGTCTTCTTCGATGAAGTGTTGCCTCACCTTCAACCTGCTGTACCCTACTGGTCACGGCTTCCTACTAGACCCACTAGAAGCCCAGGTTAACCGCCTGAATAGGGCCAGTGGCCAGTGAGCATCAGATTAGTCTTCAACTATATTGGTTTTTGTAGAGATTTTGTTTGATTGGTTGGAGGATTTTATCATGAGCTGACACCGGGTTAAGTAATGGTTTTTTTGTATATATTGACACGGAATTTCGATAAGTCTTATTATAAGCTCATATTTGACTCTTCCATTCATTTACCGCATTAAGTGTTTAAAAGTAGTAATGTAACGTGTGGTGCAGCTTGATAAGAAACGGTCAAAAATTGTCACCAACAATTTAAATCAGTCACTGCTGCTGCAGAAGTAGATGTGTTTATGCGTCAATTCTGAATGTAGGTTACATTGTAGACATGGAATAACCTCATTGGATGGCTTGCTTAACCTTGGGCGGACTGTCAACTAATCGGAACAATTATTTATTATTCTCCTTTGACCTAGCTGAACTTTAATGTGGCTGCGAATGTATAAATATGTTGTGATAATGGTTTTCTTTAACAACAGACCTCCATTACCCAGTCTTTTAGCTTCTCCGTTACAATATATCTTATAAATAAATTAATGTGAAATGACATATTACCACACTGCGCATGTTTTACACATAAATAAGTATATATTAGCTCATGACTGTTATCTACTTTGTTGCTAGTCTACCTTTAAGTCAAATTGATGGAGAGCAACAACCGTCTGCTTCAATCTTCGCGTTTAGTGGTAGTAGTGTAACGTGAGACCTGGTACCGGACTTTTTCTCTTACTAAGGAAAATAACATCCCCAAATTGGGAATACATTTTCAGCCCACATTTCTGGTTGGCGGATAATAAACAGTTCTGATAGGCTATTGATAATCCGAAGGTTAAATCTTGCAGCTAGAAGTTGTCTGTGTATACAACAACACACTGTTCTGATTGGTTGCGGATTTTCTCAATTTCATACATTTATTTCCCATAATGAATTTGAATGAAGCAAGAACACAACAGCGATTTTTGCAGAATAAAATGGTACCAGCATTGTTAATTTCGTTGGCTTCTCATCAGATGCTGCTTACAGGCCAAAGTCGTTATTAAATATATATATATATGTACAGAAACAATTTTAACATAAAACACAAAATAAATGAGCGAAGAATATCCTTTACGGATAATTTACACTTCTCGCTCTACAATTATTTATGCATGTTTATATACATAGAATATTCTAGATTAGTAGTCAATAACAATATTAGTGTTTTTTTAAATAATATCGATTCGTTAAATGAGACCAATGGAATTACATAAACCGTACAATTAGGCGTGTTTTTCGTCGGATTTACAAACATCCTCCTCCACAGTTGTTAAGTAAAGGACAAACAAAACCTATTCGTAGAGCTATTCTATCTCATCTTATGGATGTGACAGAACACAAGATTGATGTTAATCAGCCAGCTTTCAAAGTTATCTGTCGCATACCAACAAATCTTAACTTCACCTCTAGTTCGATTACAAAATGATGCTGAGGCTGGGTGTTGGGATCCACATTAAAAAGCCTAATTTATATGTCTTAAAGAAGCTAGTTCAGACATTGTCCTTACCTTGGCCATCTATGTTTCAATGATCCTCAATTTTTGTGGAATTTCCCTAATTTTAGTTGACATTCTATTTGCTATTATATTATTATTATTTAAACATGTTTAATCAACTGTAATTCCATTGTGATCTTACTTTACAAATCGATATTATTTAAAGTACACACCAATATTGCTATTGACTACTGTAAGATAACTTCAATTCCCATCCTTGAATCAAGTCAACCTGTCTTGGATCAGCCTATCGTTGTTGCAACCCAATTATCCATGCCTAACATGTGTGTGTTTATCCCCCCTTGTTTAATGAACTGTGTGTGCGTTTTTACATCGATCCGTTTAGTCAGACCGTTGAACTCATGACCAAATCAAAGTATTTTGTAAACTGTTATTTTTACTGACCCATGTCTTACTTTGTACTATTCTGTCGAGTTTATCTTATTTATTGATCTTCATCTGTGTTAGCCTACCTGGTTAAGTAGCCAATTAAATTCTATCTTTGTGCCTATGCTCTGTCTATCTCTTAACCGCTCGCTTTTCTATGCCCTGCCTTACTTGGGTTCATTCTTCTATTAACTGCTTACCTGAACGGTCGTGTTTGATTCCGGCTAGTTCGCAATTTCGGTTTTAACGTTATTCCGCTCTGATAGCGGTACCTTGCTTTCTATTAAGCGTTGTGCTTTGTACTCTTGAAACCGTTAGGGTTTGTTGTATATATAATTATTGATTTGATTATTAACAGTATCGTAGAAACAGTGACCGGCTTCTTGTTTGTTCTGGACCGGGATAGCCTTTATCTACGCGTGACTAAACGTTCATCCAGAAGAAACTGTGGTGAATTGGCAGCACGCAACGTTGTTGAAAATACATTTTCTTTGGAACAATGCAAACCAGGTCAGGGAAGCAAATTTCGGAGCAGCAGTCGGAGAGTCGGCAAGTCTCCGTTTGTATAAATGACCATGTTGATAATCTTTTGTGCCCCGGCTCTCATGTCAGTTGTTCGAAATCATCATTATCGCGAGTAACTAGTGCCAAGTCGTCGCTACTAAGGGTGCAGCTAAAAGAGAAACAGCTTCGACAGGAGTTAGAGAAAAAGTTGCTAAAGGCCGAGCTGCATGTGAAGTTAGCCGCGGACGACGAACGGAACATTGAGGAATATGAAAGAGGCAGTGTCATTGATAACCGGGAGCAACTAGAACGATATGTGAAAGATTGTGCCGCAATGATTGGCGGGGACGCTCCTGTTACGATCGGGAAGAGCGCGGTCGTAGAGAAACTTGACATGCCTAAGGTTGAAATGTCCTATTTTGATGGCAACTGTACTGACTACTTGAGATTTACCAAGGAATTAGAATATTATGTCGAGAATAGAGTAAAGGACCCTGGTCAAAGAATGTTATATCTGTTACACTATTGTAAGGGTCGAGCCAAAGCAGCCATACATGAATGCGTGATCTTGCGTCCTGAGAGTGCGTATGCGCGAGCTAAGGGTATCTTACAGGGTCTGTTTGGAGAGATCCACGTCATCGCACGAAACCGTATTGAAGACATGATTAGAAGCCTACGACCTGTGGCAGAAGATGGAGAGGCTCTATCCGGTCTATCAATACAGCTTCATTATTTCCTGATTGCCGTAACTGAAATGAACTATTTGTCGGACTTAAATTCCGTAACAACTCTCGAGAGAATAGTACGCACACTGCCGATAGCAGTTCGAAGGAATTGGGCCAGACTAGCAGACGCAAGGAATCAAAAAGGGCAAGAGTCATCTTTTCAGGATCTTTGCCAGTTTGTTTCTACACAGGCAATTCTGAAGCTGTATTGATAGACGGGATAGAGCTTCTCCATCTTCTGCCACAGGTCGTAGGCTTCTAATCATGTCTTCAATACGGTTTCGTGCGATGACGTGGATCTCTCCAAACAGACCCTGTAAGATACCCTTAGCTCGCGCATACGCACTCTCAGGACGCAAGTTCACGCATTCATGTATGGCTGCTTTAGCTCGACCCTTACAATAGTGTAACAGATATAACATTCTTTGACCAGGGTCCTTTACTGTATTCTCGACATAATATTCTAATTCCTTGGTAAATCTCAAGTAGTCAGTACAGTTGCCATCAAAATAGGACATTTCAACCTTAGGCATGTCAAGTTTCTCTACGACCGCGCTCTTCCCGATCGTAACAGGAGCGTCCCCGCCAATCATTGCGGCACAATCTTTCACATATCGTTCTAGTTGCTCCCGGTTATCAATGACACTGCCTCTTTCATATTCCTCAATGTTCCGTTCGTCGTCCGCGGCTAACTTCACATGCAGCTCGGCCTTTAGCAACTTTTTCTCTAACTCCTGTCGAAGCTGTTTCTCTTTTAGCTGCACCCTTAGTAGCGACGACTTGGCACTAGTTACTCGCGATAATGATGATTTCGAACAACTGACATGAGAGCCGGGGCACAAAAGATTATCAACATGGTCATTTATACAAACGGAGACTTGCCGACTCTCCGACTGCTGCTCCGAAATTTGCTTCCCTGACCTGGTTTGCATTGTTCCAAAGAAAATGTATTTTCAACAACGTTGCGTGCTGCCAATTCACCACAGTTTCTTCTGGATGAACGTTTAGTCACGCGTAGATAAAGGCTATCCCGGTCCAGAACAAACAAGAAGCCGGTCACTGTTTCTACGATACTGTTAATAATCAAATCAATAATTATATATACAACAAACCCTAACGGTTTCAAGAGTACAAAGCACAACGCTTAATAGAAAGCAAGGTACCGCTATCAGAGCGGAATAACGTTAAAACCGAAATTGCGAACTAGCCGGAATCAAACACGACCGTTCAGGTAAGCAGTTAATAGAAGAATGAACCCAAGTAAGGCAGGGCATAGAAAAGCGAGCGGTTAAGAGATAGACAGAGCATAGGCACAAAGATAGAATTTAATTGGCTACTTAACCAGGTAGGCTGACACAGATGAAGATCAATAAATAAGATAAACTCGACAGAATAGTACAAAGTAAGACATGGGTCAGTAAAAATAACAGTTTACAAAATACTTTGATTTGGTCATGAGTTCAACGGTCTGACTAAACGGATCGATGTAAAAACGCACACACAGTTCATTAAACAAGGGGGGATAAACACACACATGTTAGGCATGGATAATTGGGTTGCAACAACGATAGGCTGATTCAGGACAGGTTGACTTGATTCAAGGATGGGAATTGAAGTGATCTAATAACTACTATTCAAGAATAGTGTGTGGTTTTAAACATTGGTATATAATTGTATGGCGAGAGGCTTAAATTACCGAAGGGGATATCTTTGCTGATATATTTTATGTTGACATTGTTTCGGTAAATATAGATAATAAATAATGACTTTGGCCTGTAAGAAGCTGAGCTGTTGAGAAGCTAACGAAATAAAGAATGATGTTAGCTTTTTATTGTGCAAAAATCGCTTTTGTGTCCTTGCTTTATTTTGTTATGTTTTTTTGAATGTCTGACCATGAAAGTATTTCCTTACTCTACAGCGTAGGCTAGATACAGGTTTAAGAAGTAAAAGCTTCTACTTCTGCAGGCCTACTGACTATTCAAAATGTTTTTTTTTTCTTAATTTTTGGCTACCCTCTGTCAATCTGCTTAAATATATATATATATATACATACTACTGATACTGCTTATCAGTAGTAGCACACCCCTGACGAGAATATGGACTGACTTTGTGTGTGTGCACATATTGTTAAATATTGCCTTGTATATATATACGTATCATAATGAAATTGTTTCTTGTTTTTTAGTTAAATATGTTTGCATTGTTATTTTACACTTCTCTCTCTCTCTCCCTCTATTGTTTGGATTTCTTTCGTATCTTTCTACAGGTGATATGCTACGTGTATTTCACACGTGTTATTGTATACCTGATGACAATTACTGTTGTTTATTCTTATTCATGGCTTGTTGAATTATTCAAAGAGACTGTCACCTTTATATTCTTTATATCAGTTGGTTATGAATTTCGTCCAGTGAATGATAATCCGTATTTACTTATCTCTGGCGATGAGGAGGACGAAGATGAAGACACAGTGATGGAACGTATGCATATGGAAGATGTGTAAGTGTGTGTCATTTCTCTTCTGCCTCTTAATCACCTGCTGTTTTACCATTCAGGGCGATGTGTGTACAGTGTGTGTGTGTGTGGTCAACAACCACTTGTGGTCACCGAGAATATCCATTGAGTCATATGAAGAAAATAAGTAGAAGACAAATTCATCGAAGAAAATTTTCCTTATCGACGAAATCATCTTCAGAGGCTCTACAGTCGTATATATATATATATATATATATATATAAGAGAGAGAGAGAGAGAGAGAGAGAAAAGCACCCGACTACACCTTAGACAAGTGCTTTTCGCATAGGCGGTCTCTTGTGAATATTCTTTTAAAATGCCATGAGAAAAATGTTGAAAGGCCTGGTGTTATGTGTCTTGTTGTTTTACACTTGCCTTGTGGGGAGTACACACGGTAATATATATGGTGAGCCAAAAAGGTATGAAAAAGGCAAAACTCCCTTATATATACTAGGAGGTTAGGTGGTAGTCAGCAGCATTAATATGAGGAACACTCTAAGAGGGAAAGTTGGAATGCTGGTGGAACCAAAAAAAGCTCATATGCATCAGACGGTGCAGGCTAAAGTGATGCAGAGGCCTGAACTTTGAATTATGCTGGACGGTTTAAAGAAAATGATTCCAAACTTCAACGGGGGTAATCTCAGTAGTTAACACAAGTGGTTTCCAACCCTTAATAATTTTCAATATGATTTTGAGAAAAGAAAAGCGTATTTAAAGTTTCCTTCATTGGAATCTTAACAGGAGTCGGTCACCTCAAGGCGTAAATTTCTTGATGCCACGGCCAAGACTTAAAACAGCTGTGATTTTTGGCTTTATCCGACATACGTGAACTCCTCGAAATTATTATTATTCTCTCTGGTGTGGTTTTACTTTCACGCAATTTGAGATCTCCCTAGAATAAACAACCAGACAAATATCGTTAAGATCAAAACAGCAGCCGAATGCTATAATAAAGCAATTTCCTTGAATGTGACTTTGAAAGAATAATGTGTGGCTATTTTTCACTAAGGCATATTCATCGAAGATGCTTTCATCAAAATGAGCTCCCCCGCCCCCACCTCTGCTAATTAACCACTGCTGACGAGACCAATAGCGATGAATCGGAACTCAAATCAAAGTGAAACTCTGAAGACAAAGGAAATTAGTTGTGCAAGTGATGAGGAATTTGAAGAGGACGATCGATGGTGACGAAGAGAGAGACAAAGACAATGATCATGTGTCCGATCCACCTCCATTCACTTCGAAAAATTTGTTGACCACTAGGTGATTGATTAGTTCGTTCGGATCTTCAGTATGGGGTCAGTGAAGTCAGCTCTTGAACAAAGCAGAACTGACTGACTGACATAACGGTGATGTTGAAAATCCGAATCTTCTTGTTTTTTATGCTGAGTGTAGAAGATTTCCAAACTGAGTTGAGATTGACGAAGGTGTATCCTTTCTTTCCGATTCTGACTGGTTTCGACATCTTCATCCATACTCTGTGTTTGTAGTTGAAGCGATGAAGGAAGCGACCTTCTTCACGATTTTTCCGTTGATAATAATCAGTGCTTGTTGTTGTTGGTTGGTAATCTTCATCGTTTTTGTCTTCTATATGTTCACTTGAAGTTCTTTCTTTCTTTCGTTCGTGACCTACAACAACTAGCTAGCTCACATAGCCCCACTATCATTGACGGCATAGAGTTAGAAAATACATCTAATGTCAAGTACCTTGGACTGAGTATTTCCTCCGATCTTTCCTGGTCCTATCACATCTTGCTATCTACTAGAAAGATGTTTCGCTTAACGTTCTACATTAGGAAATTTAGGCAATCTGGCATAAAGCATTCTTTGCTTTCTCAGTTTGTCAATTCTTGTATTCTACCCATCCCCCTTTACTGCTCCCCATTAATTTTTTCTGGACTACTTAAGAAAGACTTTGCTTCGCTGAGAAGGGTAGGCACTAAAAGCCGTTAGTAGGGATATCGTTAAGCCAACTGGTTAACACTATTGTGGATAAACTTATTATGTCATGTAAGAAACTAGCGAATACAATATTGTCAGACCCTGAGCATCCTCTCTATACGCAGCTGTCTCCTTGCATTTCATCTGGTAGAACTAGAAGAAGAAGCTATAGGAGGCTATATGCTAGGACTAGCAAGTAAAAAAACTCCACAATACCATATTTGACACAGCTGTTATGTGATGAGAAATCCGTTAGGTGTGACACGATAAACTTACTGCGGGACTCTAACAAATAGTCGCATTAGTTTTTGTTTTCCTTTCTTCGTTACTATTATATTGTTGTTCACATTTTCTACTGCATACTAATTTTATATTTCATATCCTGTGGTGCATTGTTTAAAACGTAAACGCAAAGCTGTTCTTTTTATTTATCTTTTTTTGTGGGGGGGTGTTGCTTTTTGATTTCAAAATCTTATAGAATTTATGAAGTAATTAGATGCAATATATTGTAATGCACGCTGAAAATTTCATACCTTTACCACAAATACTGTTTGGAATAAAGCTGTTATTATTATTATTCTATCTACTTGTTGGTTTCTACGTGTAAATCTTCGAGTTTGCTCGACATGAGACGTGAATCATCCATATGGTCCACATCTCTTGTAGATACTTCCTGCTAGTACAATCTATTTGTGTCTTCTCTCATCCCATGTACGGTGTTCCATACAAAATCAAGTTCATCACAATCTCTAATATCACCTTACTCCTATGTTCACTTCAGAGGCTTTGCAGAGTTTCCTACTCATTGGGGAACACCTAACACGTTGCATTATCATTTCAGCTGTTGAATAAGGTTGATAGATATTTGGGACATTGTACTCCATAGTGTTGTGTGCATATATATGTGTGTTTGTGGCTGTGGTCTACCTACATTTCTCATAAATCTTATTTCTCTTGTTTTCCTTTTTTTTCGCTTTTTTTCAATTTCCTTTACTTCTCTAGATGGTCACAATCAGGTTTCACAGATGGTGTCACACGAGTACAAAGATCAAAATCCAATAATTGCAAGACAGTTATTCCTATGAAAACTTATCCTAAAAGTCAAGATAATAAATCATTTCAACAGGAATTAGAAAATGCCTAATTTGAAACTCGTATGCTTGTGTGTGTGTGTGTATGTGTGCGCCTGTGTTCTTTCCTTTTATTCATTTTACGCTATTATCTTTCTTAGAATGGAAAGTGGGAAGTTGAATTGTGCTCACAGCCCCTCACCGTCCTCCTTCTTGTGTGTAATTTTTTGTATTTCTTCCTTGAGTTTCATCATAGAAAAGATACACCTTGACGGATAAAATAATATTCTTATAATGACACAATGATTATTATTATTATTATTCTTGTTACTGATACCATTCATCAGTATTAGTACCACTACTAATAATATATAAATATAGTGTATGTATAAAGAACTAAACTGTATTTACAGTTATCCTATTTCTCACTCTCTCTCTTTCTCTGTGTACAAGAAGAAAGCTCCTGTACAGTCTTAAGGCTCTCATCAATGTCGGAGAATCTAACCTGCTTGCGCAGAATCCCGTATAAAGTAAAGTAGAGCTAAGATGATAAGATGAACAACTGTGATAAATAAGTTCGTTTTTTTGCTTCCATTAGAAATAGTCACCTGAATTTTCTCTTTCTCCCTGAGGTTTATTTTGATTGGTTGTTGATTTGCCCGTGTGTGTGTGTTTTATGAATTACAAAAATCTACAGTTTTCAATCCCCTTGCTAATTGGTTTTCTATTTTTTCAATTCCTCTCAAGAGGTATTTTGTAGATGGATTTGAGAACTACACCGAGAACCAGTTTCGAGGGGGGGGGTAGAGTACTGGACACAGGTTTTTCATCCTAGTATTTAAGACTCACTGGCAGTAAACAGTCCACCAACGAAGGGGGGGGGTCGAACTCAGGACCCTCTGGTCACATGGAAAGTTTGTGAAGCATTCAGCTCCTGTAGGATAGACGACTGACTAAAACGTTGGAAACAACACTTTGAGAAGTTTAGTTGACCTATAGCCACGCCCAACTTACCGAACATCCCATACCTCCTTGAATGAGATATAGACACAGGTTCTCCGTCCCTAACTGAGGTTACCAAGGCGTTCAATTGTCTGAATTGAGGCAAAGCTGTGGGACCTGAAGGAATGATTACAGAAGTGATTAAAGATGGCGGAGACAGTGTACTGTTTGCGTTAAATAAGGTGTTAGGCAGTGTCTGGGAATCAGAAGAAGTCCCGTCGGGTTGATATAAGTCGTTGATTATCCCAGTATACTAGAGGGGAGACAAGTCTTTCTGTGATAATCAGAGGGGGATTAGCTTGACTAATATGGTATCTAAAGTTTTAGGTTAAGTAATAATGTGTAGACTAAGTGGTGCTCGGGAGGCACAAACACGAGAGAACCAGGCAGGCTTTAGACAAGGAAGTGGGTTTCATGAATTTAGACAAAGCAATAAGAAGATGTAATTTGTCTGAATCGTGTGATGTTGCACTTGCGTAATACATTTCGAACAATCTGTTTATGCACACTAACGTGTCATAGGAATATATATGAAATTAACAAAGAGTTAAGAGGTGAGAAAATAGCCCTAAGTCCAGTTAAAAGTACATATTGAGGGTCAAAATAACAATGAAGATCACTAAACCAAATAAGAAAGGTACATTTACCCCGGCTGGTATCAAAACAAAGTTTACCAAGGAAGGTAGCTTTAGTGTGATGACGAATTGTTTTTGAACGCATTAATGTGGTTTGAACTTCGTAATCGCTAGCTAGTGATACGCCTCAAACACGTTTTATAGATAGGTTTAAAAGACATGTAAACACCAATTTTATGTCCTGTCTCTATAATATATTTCGCAACAGTGGAGCTACGTCTCCTGTTCTTACCATTTATAGGTCCTGGGGACTCTAGTTGCTTCTGGAGCAATTTAGGAATATGCTTTGAAGTCAGCTCTTACTTGCAGAGATCGATGAGTCCTCCCTATGTATGTGTGTTCACACGTACATTCAAGTTGGTAAATGCAGTGGGATGTGACATCATTAATCGCATGTTCGAAGGACTTAGATAGATATAATGGCTTTACATTCTCTATTATTATGATATTAGCTGCATAAGAAGTCTTTTTAACAGCAATGTCTAATCAATCTGCTATGATCTCCCATATAGGCTAGCCTGATGTTTACGTCTTTCTTTGCGGCCAGTTGGAGAGTGGGTGTCTTGGTGTTCTGCTGACTACTTTATATCTCCTGATGAACTTGTCTGGATAATTGTTATCAACCAGGGGTTGTGTCAACTTTCTTTCTTCATCAAGTGTGTCTTCAGTGCATATTCGTCGGATTCTACTGAAGAGGCACCTTACTAAGGCTCTTTTGTACCGAAAAGGGCAGAAACTGTGGTAATTAAGATACTGTCCTGTCCTAGTAGGTTTTTCATAATTACATCTTTTTATTGATCTATGGACTAAGCGAAATATAGAAAATCAAAACAAGTTATTCAGCGAAGACATTCTTTTCAACGAGTTTGTCATCAAGCTGTACAATCGCTTAGATGTGGTTTTTAAGAAATTATATCCTGTGAGGGAATTGAATCATAGGTGTGAATGCATAAAATAATAATAATAGCATGAAATGCAATTAAAATTAAAATGTTTGTGATCATAATCATAGTTAAATGTCAAGTGGCAAAACAATCAATGTCATATATACAGTAATTTATAGGGTGTGTAGAACTTGGAACGGGTGTGAAATTATAGGATTAGTTGGCGATACGATCGCCTGCCACTATCATTCGGCGTATACGTAGGTCTGATACTGTGGAGGAAAAGTTGAATCTTTCGAGAAAAATCCTAATAGAAAATGGATTTCCACCACGTTCTAAAGACAAGAATATACAGTCAAATCCTATGAAATGTGGCTTATTATCCGTACCCAAGAAAATACTGTACCTGTGCTCAGAATTTAAAAGTGAATTAGCTTCCGATATTATGGAAAGAAAGATATCACAGTCCCTGAAAAGAACATTACCTGCTGCATCTCTGAGAATAGCCTTTATACCAGTCGACCATTACTGTTCAGTGACTTGAAGGACAAGATCCCGCTGTTGACCAACTCTATGTACGTTTATCAATTCATCTGCTCGTGTGGAGCTAGGTATATCGGTCATTCGACTCGAGCTTTATCCAAGAGTGCAAGAATACTATCCTGCATGGTTACGAAGAGGTGGAAGTGGAGCAATAAGAAGCGCGATCATTGAACATCTCGTCGATAATGATCACCCTATATCTATAGCCTCCGTCTTTAAAGTCATCTACAAGGCAAAGAGTAATTTACCTAAATCCCTACGTACCCGACTCTCATCTGTATTGCTGAAGCCATCTTTGGCTTTCGAAACAGAAAAGCCAGATCTCTGTGTACAGAAAAAGTTCGTTCAACCTCTCCAACTTTCATGGTCTTAATCCCTTTATGCTGTAGTGTGATAATCCCTAATCATATTTTGGCTCTAACAAATGTTTTCATTTTGTCTATTCATTTTGCACTCTCTTCCTTTATTACGTCAATTGTTACTATTACTATTCTCACTTTGAACTGTCCCCGGTATTAATTCACTCATTCCACTTGTCACTCTAAATCAACTTTGTTTTGCAAAGTTCCACACAATGTTTATTATCAATATTCCCTTGCGTTATGAGTGGAACATCGGGCTTCAACAACACATCTCTACTTTGTTCTGTTGTCTACCGTCCTCTTCACCTGGGTCCACGATCTCCTCTTTGTCATCCTGGGAAGACGCACTCGTCGCTTCCCGTTGGGCTTCCATTCGAAGGCCTGGCATGCGATGTCATTCAGCTGCCTCCTAAATGTATGCCCGATCCATCCATCTCCACTTTCTCCTACATATCTGTTGAACAATCGTCTCTCGTCTTTTGATTTTTTCCCATAACTTATTGTTGCTTATTCTTCCTGGCGATTGAATTTTTAGTATGGAGTCAGCCAGTGAAGGTGGCAGCTGTTGATAAAAATCTGCAGTGACTCGTTGGAAATCCTTTTCGTGATACACCAGCTAGGTTTCTGACCCGTAGAGAAGAACTGATTGGCTGATTTGACAATTGTGTTGAAAATCCGAATCTTCTTGTCCTTTATACAAACTGTAGAAGATTTCCAAACTGGTTTGAGGTTGATGAAGACGTATCTTGCCTTTCGGATTCTCGCTGGCTGGTTTCAACATCTTCATCCGTTCCGGTTGCCTTTAGTGAAACGATGTTTCCTAGATAAGTGAAGGTGGTTACCTCTTTCACATCTCTCCTTTTGATGGTGTCTGGTGCTGGTTGTTGTTGCTGTTGGTTGGTTATCTTCATCACCTCCGTCTTTTCTATGGTCATCTGCAGTCCTGTTTTCGCTACCAGCGTCTTCAGCCAGTTTGTTGGTTTTTGCTTGCAAATCTTTTGGTGTTTGTGTGATATTAGACAGATACCATCTTCACGGGAAATCCAGGTCTTCTTATCGGTCATCCAAAGCATTCCTGACTTCTCGCCCTCTAATGCACAGTCTAACGCATAATCCAGACCACCACAACAATTAAGTATATCATCGGTGATAATAGAAAGGCAGCCAGCTTGTCTTACTCCTGTGTGCACCTCGAACTTCTCGCTGAGTTTTCCGTTGTGGGTCATGTGACACGGGGCACTGCACGCCGCAGTGTTGAAGCAGTTTCCAAACAAGATCTATTCATAGCTCTATTTTAGCGTACCTTGTAGATATAGTGAGCATAAAGTTGATGTTGATCAAGCATTAACAGTTACTTATCTCGTTCCGGCCAATATTAATTTTGCTTTGCAAGTTCTTCTTCTACATATGTGGTGAGAGCAGCCTGCTAGCCGATTGGTTGATATTAATCTACATCAGTGTCTAGGTCACTGATATGGGCCGTGAGAAAATATGAATAAGGCTGTTTCAACAACCAATCACAGTAAACTTAAATATGGGCAAATATGATTCGAGGATAGATGGCTCCACTTTCCGAGAAACTCGAAAACAACCAATCAGAAGGCTGTGTTTGTCTACTTGACTAGGCTATAATAATGTATGTGAAATTTATATAAATACGTGTTGATTTCCGTAATAAGACGATCTGTTGCATGGCCCTTGTCTTCTGTTGTTACATATATAGTTGAAGCCATCAAAATCCCCTGTGTGTCCAGAAGAAATTTATGCAACCAATATCCCTACCTTGGCAGTTTTTATATGAATGTAAAAACTGAACTACTTCGCCCCCCTTCCCCTGAACCTTTTGACAGTTATAATTGTCCAAATTATTTTTCTGACTATTTAATCTTTAATTACAAGGTACCATTGTCCAAATCATTTTATTTTTCATACATTTATTCCCCTTTATGAATTTGAACAAAATAAGAACTACAGTTTTTGCAGAGTAAAATGGTATCATCTTTTATTTCGTTGCCTTCTCATCAGCTGCTCACAGGCCAAAGACATTATTAAGTTTATCTACAAAAACGATTTTAACATACTTGCACAGAGTTCATTTTAAACAAAAAATCAATCGAACAATATGTGCATACAGTAATAATAATAATAATTATTATATATATATATGCAATTTTAAACACTATTCCGAACAATAATAATCATGGAAATTTTACATTAGTAGAATTGAGCTCTTGTGCTTATTGATAATTTTGAACGACTTTTTGACGTCCACCTCGTAACTCATGTCA